CTGTCATTTCCACCGGACGACCACACTGTCTCTGCACGAATATCAAACTGTCTTTCTGACATATCAAAATGGATAAAATCCCACCATCTCCAACTCAACCTCTCTAAAACTGAACTACTTGTCATCCCAGCAAAACCATCCATACAGCACAATATCTCAATCCAAAATGACTTCCCATCTCTGGCTCCTTCAAAGGCAGTTCAAAATCTGGGTGTTGTGATTGATGAACACCTGAGCTTTAAAGATCATGTTGCCTCTGTTGCTCGTTCATGCCGCTTTGCGCTGTATAACATACGAAAGATCAGATCATACCTAACACAACATGCCACCCAGCTCCTGGTGCAATCTACTGTCATCTCCCGCCTCGATTACTGCAATGCCCTTCTAACTGGTCTTCCAGGCTGTACTGTGAGACCTCTTCAAATGGTCCAGAACACAGCGGCGCGTCTGGTCTTCAATCAGCCAAAAAGAGCACACTTCACCCCTCTGTTCATTGAGCTCCACTGGCTACTGCTAGCAGCACGCATCAAATTCAAATTGCTAACACTAGCATTCAAAGTCCGAGATGGTACGGCTCCCATCTACCTGAATCCTCTTGCAAAGGCTTACATCTCGGCCCGGCTGCTCCGGTGATCACAGGATCGTCGGCTAGCAGTGCCTGCCACGCTCAGGACAATCCAGACTTTTCTCATGCATCGTTCCACAAATGTGGAATGACCTACCAAGCACTACCAGAACAGCGGCTTCCTTTCCAATTTTCAAGAAATTCCTGAAGACCCTGCTCTTCAGAGAGCATCTTCTAAACTATCACCCTCCCTGCACCCGTCCCCCCTCTCTACTGTCCACTCCTTGTTCCCTACTTTCCATGACTGATGTCAAGTTGTTGTTGTTATTGTTGTTGTTAGCCTCAAGGGCAATATGCCGATTATCACTTGTAAGTCGCTTTGAACAAAAGCGTCTGCTAAATACATAAACATAAACATACTTCCGGATCATGGGTTCCCAGAAGGATGAAAAAATAAACGCAAGTCAATGGGGCTAAAAGAGCTATTTTATAATCCCGCTTCCTATGCACCATGGATTTCACATATGATGTCCGTGAATTTTAAAGTCACATTTGGATGCCAAGAAAGCACTTATTACCAAACGGGGGCAAAACTAGTTTCGTGTGAATGTCCAGGACTACAAATGTGCATCACCAAACTGATGTCATCAAAGCAGACAGGCAGAGAAAAACAAGAAAAGTGGCTTAAGCTCAGCGAATGTCAAATCCTTATCTTTAGGAGGAAAAGACCATCATAAATGTTGCCATGTGGTAGCAGTTAAGCTGGGGCAGAAGAGATTCTGTGGTGATGTCAAATATGCAACGTGCCGACATCTGATTTGTAGTCATGTTAATTACAAACATTTACAAGCTGATAAATCTCAAAGTACGTGGCAGGCGTGGTCGAAACACACATCATTACTTCTCATTTAAATTGGAGTACAACGTATGCGTGATCCAGGGCGTAAGGCAAAGCGGATTAGAAAATAGCTCTTTTAGCCACATTGACTTGCATTCATTTGTCATTCTTCCGGAAACCCATGAGCCGACTAGAAAGGGTGGAGGCGAAAGCTTGGTTTATGCTTGACGCATTCACTTTCCGCTTGGTGATGCAGCTCGCGGATGGAACGCGCTTCACAACTTGCAGCGTTTATAGTTCATGCGGCTCGTCTCTGCGGTGAGCCAATATTCTCCCAAACTGAACGGGGCAGCATGGAGCTCTACAGCATGCATCCAACACTACACCATAGTAGAAGTAGAAATTACCGTTTACAACATGGCATTTCAGCATTTTTTAACAGCGTCCTTGTATTTTCCGACAGTGCGAGCTATTGCTTTCCAAGAATTATTAACAACATGGTGATCACGGTGATCTCTGAGAGCTGAATCATACAAATGTCTGTATTTACGAACCTCTGCCTTACTAGTTCTTGCCGGTCCGCCATGTTTTTCCACGTCCGACCGTCCGCGTGGTTAGAAAATTTCCTAGGTGCGCGTTGCGGAAATTTTGGGCCATGCGGAGGCGCGGTGGAGGGGCGTGGTTGTTAAAATGACGCAAAATGACGCAACTTTTCTGCGCGGAGCCGTGCGGACGCGTCAAGCATAAACCAACCTTTATGCCACTTACACACTAGCATCAGCTCCACACCACTCCACTCCACCCTGCCCACCCCAGCCTGGCCACATTCGTTCCACACTGCCTTAGGAATTCGGAAGTGATTGAGCACATGGACGATCTCCAAAATTGGCACAAAAAAGAAGGTATCAGTGATGTCATGAGCATATCTAGGTGCACGTAGGTGGGGCAAAAGAACACGGAGAAGTCCAGTGTTTCTCCTACATAGGCTCAGCCGTGATGCCGTTTTGAAATCAACCCCCCCCCCCACCCACCCACCCACACACGGGAGATGCATGGAATCGAAACGTTCTGACCACAACCATTACCCCCTAGCCCACTCTCACGGCCAATGAACGGCAGCAAAATGGTCTGCAAATGTAGCATCCAGAATGATATGCCACTTACACACTAGAATCGGCTCCACTCCACTTTGCTACGCCCGCCCCAGCCCAACCACGTTTGTTCCACGCTGCCTAAGCCTGATTCATGCTTCTCCGTCTGCGTCAGTGCGGAGACACGCAACGTCCTTGCGGGCCTGCCAGAGAGCTCCGCAAGGATGGACGGAGTTGAGCTCTCTTTTCTAAACATCCGACAGTCGAGACGGACAACGCAAGCTTGTGATTGGTCAGGACGCCGCTGTCGTCTACACCGCCGGCATTGCGCCCTCAAAAACATAAAGAGAGCCGAGAATAACTAGCGGCAGACAAGGAGCAGCTTGAAGAATACCTCACGAAAAAACTCTAAAAACATGAACGTTTAATTCCCCCGTGACTGGAGGAGTGACAAGATGTGCAGCAAGCATTTTATTTGTGGATGGAAATGACAGGAAATGTGGGTTTAGAGGTGGTGAGCGCATGAAGAGGTGGAGGAGGATGAGAGACAAATTTGTCTGTGTTAAAAAGTCTCTTATATACAAAAAAGCTCAACATAAACACACCATCTTGGACCGGATACATGACAGGATACCATAGAACAGCGCTACGCCCTCTGCTGTCCTGGTGGGGAATTGCTTTGCAACACTCCCCAGGAGCTGGAGAAGTATGAGAGCGAAACGCTTCCGTCAATCCGTGCGTGTCTTTCCCTTGCGGAGCTGACGGAGAAGCATGAATCAGGCTTTAGGAATGCGGATGTGATTGAGAAGAGACAGAGAAAAACGACTTCATTTAGAGGCTTCTTAACTCCACAGCATCCAGAATGATATTGAATCACGCATGCTGGAAGCCACTGTGGGCTGATTCTATCCACCAATCGGAGGCTTCCTCTAACATTAGAAGTCAATTTGAGCCAGCAAATCAGTCAGCAGTGGGCGTGTAGGACCAGTTCAGCTCCAGGCTGACTGCCTTGGGAAGTGGGTTGAAAGGCCGTCCAGTTGAGTGTGGGGAAATCCATGGCTACCCAAATGAGAACACTCCAAACCCGGTCCAGGCCGCTGGTGTGTAAGTGCCATTAAGCTCCCCTTAGGCATAAACAATATTACCATTGATCATTAAATTCAGCACAGATTTTTTTTAAAACCTGTAACCTCACAGCCTTTAGTTTCCTGACACGCATGTAGGGGGGAAACAACTAAGCCTTGAAAATTAATTTATATCTGATAAGATTTTTCCAGTTACATGGTTGGAAGGTTTTTCCTAGAAAACTCCGAATGTAAAACATGTAAAAACAGAAGACCCATTATACGGTAACAGGAATAAAAGCTTTTAGTTTCTACCGCACTTCTTGTGTAAATGAATGGTTTCCATCATAATGCTGCAAATAATTTGCTTAAATTATTTTTTCCTATTCACTTTCAGGAAACGGCAGAGTCATTGACAGAAAAATGTGAATCACACATCCGCACTGAGAGTTTCTAAGTGAAGACATTTGATCAAATTTGCATACAATGGGAAAAAATGCCAACAATTGCATCACTGCCTTTTCTTTCATCTTTGGTGTGCATCAGCAAAATTGAAAACGCATATCTTTTCACATTCTTGTCTTTAAGAGTTCAGTGGTTCTAGTGAACGATGACTGTAGCTGTGGTTGATGGACAAAAATCGCAATGCATAAATTCACACAAATCGGTGTCACCAAATGTCCAACGCAAATGCAGTGCTGTGTGTGTCCGTCTGATAAAGGCTAAAGATTAAATGTCACAAGACAGCTGTTGATTCAAGGTTTTCTTTTATACTGAGATTATTCACTTTGAGCCCCTGCAGTGCTACTCCCACACAATCTGGGAAAAAATCTACATAATAGTGATGTGTACACAGATCAATCCCTGTAAACTGATCAGTTACTAAATGGTCATTTGAAACACCTCTAAGCCTTTTTTAAACATATAGTTGTAAATTAAATAGTAAGAATAAATAAACAACAAACGGTCAACAGATAGTCTAAGTCTATACTTCAGACTGAATTTGGTTTATTAAAGTAGAATTTATTTTAAAATGACATTTGTGTCTATATCATACAGTTGAATAATTAATCCTGTTACAGATTGCTTCAATTCGTGGAAATGGAGAACCCATGAGGAAATAGGATTTTTTCCCCCTCATTATTAAGATGCACTTGTTATCCAAACCAGATTTAAACTCATTGAGAGTCTCAAACTGGACAGCTGTTTAATAAGCAAGAGAAACACCCAAACAGTAAAAATAAGTGTTGAATAAATAAATAAAATATTCGTATTTAACGGAAAGGCCTGTTTAAATCGAGCTGGTTTGGTGACAGACGGGTGACCGTTCAGGTAAATAGCGACGGGATTTGACAGACTTTGTGGAAAACTGGTGAATAATTCCCAAAACAAATGAACTAAAAGGGTTCGGGTCTAATCACGTATGTTTGCTTCTGGTTTACCTGGGAGGCTAGCGCTGGCAGAGACGACGACACTTAGCAGGACAGCGCCGAGCAGCAGCACCGAGGCCCGCCAATGGTGTCCGCACCGCGGACTGGAGAGAAGCAGCATCCTGGGGTCTTGTTGACACCGGAGAACCTAACACGAAGGCGGCTGCAGTTGTTGTCATTCCCCCATCGTTTTTGAGTGTTGTCTTCCTGTTTTCGTTTTGTAAGAGCTTCGGTGAGATGTACACACTGCGTAGGGCTGAGCACCGGGATGCCGTCTGTTCCCCGCTCTGAGTAATCCTTGACAGAGCTAAGGAGCTGAGCTGGAGGAGGCGGCGGCGGCGGTGTGTTTGATGTGGTGCCTTCAGGGCTTCCTCGGAAATCTCACAAACACAACGACAAACGTGTTGGCACATTATCATATTTATATGTCGATGGTTGGCACGTTGACATTTTGAAAATCTCCTCACTCTAATTTTAATTTTATAGTTTTTTATTTGTCCTAACTTTTCAACTCTCAACAGTTCTCCTGTTTTTCCCTCGTTGGCCCCTTGTACTCTTTTTGAACATAAGTAACAAATTAATACAAATAAACATTAAATATCAAAATTTAAGAAAGTCAGCATAATTATAAAATAGATTAGGAAATCGTGTCAAACTCCACACACTTACATAAATAAATAAAACACGATTTTTAAATTTTCAGATGTTTTCTTTGGTTAATTTTCTTACTAATTATTTGTTTGTTTTTTAAAGTAAAACTACGAGTTGAAATGTAGAACAATAAAAGCAGTCAAGTCAGCAAATGTAAACAGGAAAAAAAAACTTATTTGCGATATATATTTATCCGAAACTGTGTTTTGTTGGTATTTTTCATAGAAATACACACAAACACACAGTGCCTGTAAATTAAATATTTAAAAAAAAAACTTTCAGTAAAACGCAACGCGTTTTCCCCATCGACAGGTTTTCCCCCAAGCCACAAATTATTGCTGACTTGCGCGCGTCAAACTTACGACAGACCTGAAGGCAGCAGTTCAAATGAGATTAGAGAAAAGCGAGGCAACGGTGGCGAGCGCGATGACGTCCAGGACCAGTTTAGAGAGCATGACGTGGAAAATTAGTTCACATAATAGAGGAAACCATGGTGGAGAGACGTGGGATGAATCACACACACACACACACACACACACACACACACACACACACACACACACACACACACACACACACACACACACTATATATATATATATGTATATATATATATATATATTCAACAAATATATAAATGCAGCACCTTTGTTTCTGCTCCAATTTTTCATGAGATGGACTTAAAGATCTAAAATTCATTCCAGATACACAATATTACCATTTCTCTCAAGCATTGTTCACAAATCAGTCTAAACGTGTGATAGTGAGCACTTCTGATTTGCTGAAATAATCCATCCCACCTCACAGGTGTGCCACATCAAGATGCTGATCCGACATCATGAGTAGTGCACAGGTGTACCTTGTACTGCCCACAATAAAAGGCCACCCTGGAATGTGCAGTTTTGCCTCACAGCAAAATGCCACAGATGCCACAAGCATTGAGGGAGCGTGCAATTGGCATGCTGACAGCAGGAATGTCAACTAGATCTGTTGCTCGCGCATTGAATGTTCATTTCTCCACCATAAGACATCTCCAAAGGCGTTTCAGAGAATATGGCAGTACATCCAACTGGCCTCACAACCGCAGATGTGTAACCACACCAGCCCAGGATCTCCACATCCAGCAGGTTCACCTCCAAGATCGTCTGAGACCAGCCACTCAGACAGCTGCTGAAACAATTGGTTTGCATAACCAAACAATTTCTGCACAAACTGTCAGAAACCATCTCAGGGAAGCTCAACTGCATGCTCGTCATCCTCATCGGGGTCTTGACCTGACTCCAGCTCATCGCCGTAACAGGCTTGAGTGGGCAAATGCTCACATTCGATGGCGTCTGGCACGTTGGAGAGGTGTTCTCTTTATGGATGAATCTCGGTTTACATTGTTCAGGGCAGATGGCAGACAGCGTGTGTGGCATTGTGTGGGTGAGCGCTTTGCTGAAGTCAATGTTGTAGATCGAGTGGCCCATGGTGGTGGTGGGGTTATGGTATGGGCAGTTATCTGTTATGGATGAAGAACACAGGTGCACTTTATTGATAATATTTTGAATGTACAGAGATACCGTGATGAGATCCTGAGGCCCATTGTTGTGACGTACATCCATGAACATCACCTCATGTTTCAGCAAGATAATGCACGGTCCCATGTTGCAAGGATTTGTACACAATTCTTGGAAGCTGAAAATGTCCCAGTTCTTGCATGGCCAGCATACTCACAAGACATGTCACCCGATGAGCATGTTAGGGATGTGCTTGACCGGCGTATACGACAGCGTGTACCAGTTCCCACTAATATCCAACAACTTCGCACAGCCATTGAAAAGGAGTGGACCAACATTACACAGGCCACAACTGACAATCTGATAAACTCTATGCGAAAAAGATGTGTTGCACTGCATGAGGAAAATGGTGGTCACACCAGATACTGACCGGTTCTGAGTCCCCAGACCCCCAATAAAGCAAACAATTGCGCATTCCAGGGTGGCCTTTTATTGTGGGCAGTACAAGGTACACCTGTGCACTACTCATGATGTCAGATCAGCATCTTGATGTGGCACACCTGTGAGGTGGTATGGATTATCTCAGCAAAGCACAGGTGCTCACTATCACACATTTAGACTGATTTGTGAACAATGTTTGAGAGAAATGGTAATATTGTCTATCTGGAATGAATTTTAGATCTTTAAGTCCATCTCATGAAAAATCGGAGCAGAAACAAAGGTGTTGCGTTTATATTTTTGTTGAGTGTATATATATAAATAAACCAATGTCTTCTTCACTTTTCAGGCTTTCTCGGGTTCTTCTTTGAGGCCCAGGTACTTCTCTAGTTTCTCACATTCCTTTTTCCTGATGTTGTATCACTTGGTTTCGCCACATCAACCACAACAGCTGTCCTCTGTTGTTTGTCCACCACCACAATGTCCTGTTGGTTCGCAAACACCATTTTGTCAGTTTGGATCTGGAAGTCCCACAGGAGCTTGGCTTTCAAGTTCTCAACCACCTTAGGGGGTGTTACCCACTTTGACAGTGGGGCTTCCAGTCCATACTCTGCACAGATGTTTCTGTACTCGATGCCAGCCACTTGTTTGTGGTGTTCCATGTATGCTTTCCCTGTCAGCATCTTACACCCTGCAGTTATGTGGTGGATTATCTCAGGGGCCTCTTTGCATAGCCTACAACTTGGGTCTTGCCTCGTGTGGTAGATCTTGGCCTCTGTTGCTCTGGTGTTCAGGGCCTGTTCCTGTGCAGCCATGATGAGTGCCTCTGTGCTGTCCTTCAGACCAGCTCTTTCTGGCCATTGGTAGGATTTCTTGATATCAGCCACTTCAGTTATCTGTTGGTGGTACACCCCATGTAGGGGCTTGTCCTCCCATGATGGTATTTCCAGCATCTCCTCCTTCTCAGTGCCTCTTGTTTGTCTGAGACTTCACTGAGCACGTCATCTGTTGGGGTCTTATCCTTGTATTTATGGATCTTGGATGTTTCATCCTGGATAGTGACTCTCACACTCACTAGTCCTCAGCCTCCTTTCTTACGGCTAGTGTACAGTCTCAGGGTGCTGGATTTGGGATTGAACCCTCCATGCATGGTTAGGATCTTCTGTGTCTTAACATCTGTGGTTTGTATTTCTTCCTTTGGCCAGCTTATTATTCCAGCAGGATATCTGATTACTGACAGGGCGTAGCTGTGTATTGCCCAGATCTTGTTCTTGTCATTGAGCTGATTTCTTAGGACTTGCCTTTCTCATGGTTAGGTATTTGGCTGTAGCTCCTTTCCTTGGACTTCATCAAGGTTGTCATTTGCTATACCTTCACTATATATATATATATATATATATATATATATATATATATTCTAGCATGCAAAAACTTATCATAATGCTACTTATTTGACCTAGACTTAATTATTTTGGTGAATAATTGATCATTTGTTGCCAATAAAATGTCTGTAAAAACTGACTAAAGATAGAAATGTCATTCTGCTAACATATAGGCTAATTGTTTATAAACCAGCTAAACAAATGTTGCAGACCTGTGAGGATGAAATAGACATTATTACACAGCAAACAATGAATTTTAAAGCAGATTAATACAGCCTACGTATGTGTGAATTTCTAAAATAATGCACTTTAATGTAATTTCCCATCAGCAGCAGCATTACAATCATAGAAGGTGATGTGACTCAAGTTTGGTCTGTGGTCGGGGTTGTGACATTTATTCTCCAGAGTAAACAGTCACAGAACTGTGAAGTTTCTTTTGTTTTTAAAATGAACTAATGACTCATTGCAGTAAAAGGATGCATGTTCTTTTGTCCGCTTAAAACTACATAGTGTTGATAACAGAAGTGAAAAAATTAATTATTTTTATGCTACAAAAAAGATAATAATGACCTAAGACTTTGAATTGTTGAACAAATAATTGTCAAATGTATCTTGTTTGTGTTCCATTGTTCAGATTAAAATCTGAATTGTAAAACTGCAAGAAACCACTGCAATGATCATTCTAGATGCCCAAAAATAGAAACAAAAAGCACTAGCAAGCTTTTTGAATGAAGGACTTTATGACTGTGATTTAAATAAATAAATAGCCAAAATCTTCCAACTTAGTTTATGCAATTAGACCTATACTAACTACCCTGAATTTATAGTATTTTATAAACAAACCATTAAACACCCGAGAATTGTCTTCATTATATATATATAATTTAAGATGCATTTAGTGTCATAGTTTTTATAGACCCCCCCCCCCCACACACACACACACACCTGTCTATAACAGTGAGGACCCTACATTGACTTCCATTCATTTTTGTGACTGTATTATGTCCAACTCATACCCTAACCTAAAAGTTAATTCACACCATACCTCTAAAACCACTTATTAGGGTTTCTTTCACTGTGAGGACACGGATGTGAGGACACCTTACAATTTCAAAATGTCCCCATGTTAGGGGTGTCCTGAAAAGCATATATAAACGTGCGCATGCGCGCGCGCACACACACACACAGTTTGCTGCATCTGCTGACAGACAACACTGGTGCAGAAAAACATCACACAGCTGGTTTCTTATTTGTGATCTTTTTATCTGAGCGAAAACGAATGCACACAACCCTGAGGTACAACTTGGCAGCGGCTAATTCCCAGTTTAAAAAAACGTAATAATTTGGATTAAGACCTTGTAGGGTTAGGTAAACTGAGTACTTTAAGAGCTCAATATATATTACCTCTACTTATGACCAATAAGCTGGGATACTCGATCTAAATATAGAATATCACCCTGCCTGGTCTTTATTGTGCTTTAATCAGAAGATTGTAGGATTCTTTATTAGGGGATTGTACACACTTCGTTTTGGTTCAGAAAGTCAGGTTTATAAAAGTAAGAATTTATTTTCAAACAATTAAAACATGACAATTTAACTAAGCATTTACTGTGATGGATGGAACTCGTTGCGAGGTACGAAACCTATGTGTGAGTGAGATGTTAGTCAGAACTTCTGTATCTAGGAGAGCCGAGTTCTGGATGTAAAAGAATTTGGTTTGCTTTAAGCTATGAGGTTGATTGTTATCAAAACCACATCAGACGCAATCTCACTGTGTTCTACGTACCCAAGTGGAGACGCCCTTTTCAGATCAGAGATGTCGGGGGGTCGGAGACCCCAAGTACCGAAGTCCGTAGATTAACTTGCAGTATGACCAGGTCAGTCCAGAGTCATCTCCAGGTAACGACAGTTGGAACTAGTTTGCGTCTCAGGAATAACTCCTAAGGAGTTGAACAAATCAGCTTGTTCTGCAGGAACTTTTCTGTTCTATCAGCTTCGCAGGTGCAAAATGGTTTTGATGACGCGTCAAAAGCTTTGGTGGGTTAAAGAGGTTTTTGCTTCAGGTGGCCGGCCTGAAGCTTCTCTAGAACTGAAGAATCACCAGCGTGATCTGGTTTTAATGTTCTCATGTTATGATTGTGTAGCCAACCAGAGGTTGACAAGTTTGAGGATATTACCAAGAATCTCAGAAACACGCCTTCTTTGATTCGGAGGCTCTGATCTGGGGCAACGGCTAATTATGAGTCATGGATTTAACTTTACCTTACTTTGTTCTTGTGTGAGTGCAAATGTTATGTACTTGTCAAGTAAACATGCTGAAACATATATCATTGAGCAAAGATTAATGAACATTTCATTATTTTATAATTATTATAAGTAGCAATAAACAAACGTTTATTTAATGATTATCTAGCTTGTAAATTTTAGAAGTTAATATTTAATTTTAAAAATCTTCTTTCTTCTGTGAGGCAAGATAAGATAATTAGATAAAAGGGTGCTCTGTGAGGGACCTTGGAAGGAGAGAATGTTATTGTTATGATTTCATTATCTCTGTCAGAGCTGCAGGCTCTGAGCTCCAGCTGGTGTGAGGAAGGCAGGCTGATTTAAAGGGAACACGTGCAGGCTCGTGTCTCCTTTTTGACCAGATGTTGAATGGTCAAACAGTACCTAAACTGACCATTGCTGGACATTACAACCTAAAATCAAATAGCAGCTTCTGAAACAGTCCATCATGCAGAGAAAAAACATGTTGACACAAACATTTTTCAGACTGATGAATTAGCATTTCATGTATTAAAACAGAAAAACAGCAACAAAAAAAAAAAAAACGGCAATACCTTGAAAATAGTTTACAATGCCGTAAGTACTATTTAAGACAATTAACACATTTACAATGCATCCTGGATGTTCAGTTTCACATTTAGAGCAATGTTTCTGCAAAACTCCAGAAATTCTAAAGCCTACAAAATTTTAACATTCATTCATTAAACTGTTTATATTTTGTGCAAGGTGAGTTTAACCTGTGCATCCTGCTCCCGAAGAAATATAACAATAAATAACAGATAAAATTAGTTAGAAGACCAAAAAATCACTAAGTATAGATTTATTCAAATTAATCACTAGAAGTACAAAGCAGCAACAAACTGCCATTTGTTTGTTCAGAACTCGAGTTATCTGGGTGCAACAACCAAAAATCTTTTCTTAATTTACATAGTCCAATTCTAAGTACCCTGTAATTTTAATTATATTGTAAATAAAACGAAAAACCATTAAATGCATCTGAATATAAAATTATTTTAAACATGTTATGGTTTCAATACAGGATTAGGTTTGTTCCATAACAATGACCATTTAAATTGCATTTAGTATTCTAGTTTTTAATGAACCCCCCCCCCCCCCCCCCCCCAACACACACACACACACACACACACAGCATTAATTTCCCTGAATTTGCTGAATGGTACAAAGTTACCTTTCTGGAGAGTCTCTGTTCATCTAACATGACTGAGACATTATGGCAGCTAGCGCCACCTACAGGCGAGGTAATTTAATGAATACTTAAACAGCACTCATCACAGTAAAAAGGTGCGATATAGTTATAAAAAAAAAACAACAAAGTCATTGCATAATTTCCGTTGGCTAGTCTTAGCTTCTCTCTAAGGCGAGATTAATTCTGTTCCATCATCACCACGAACCTGTTGCTACGGTAACAGCAGCTTTTCCTTTCTGTATGAGGGCTTGAGGTGCAGGTGGATCTGGGCCACGTGCAACTCCCTACCAGTGTTTGGACACACGCCTGCATCACTAACCGGCACCGGTCATGTTTCTGGTCCAGCGTTCGAGTTCAGGCTTTGTGAAGAGTCTGCTGAGCACGGTTGGGTTCTGCCATCCTGCTGCTCTGACCCAATGAGCTCTTCTTTACTAAACACCTCTTCATTCTCCAAAACAAACTGTAATGTGGGACCTCCGGCTGAGATTTCCTCCATCTCCCCCTCCTGTGTCAGGAGGAGTTTTATGTTCATGCTGATGGGTTCCTCCATTTTGTCTGGACAATGAAAACGAATAAATACAGTAATAAACACACAGAAAACCCAACGACGAACACAACACAAGCAGGTCAGCTAAGATCTGATTATTTGTGTCTCATAATCATCATCTGACATTGACCCCAGATGCGACCTGTTAATCCTCACCGTGCCCCAGCTGCCTCTCCTTCGGCAGCAGCAGCACATCCACGTTGTGATGCTCCTCCAGCGCGGCTGTGAGCACAGCCCCCTCACGGCTGAACAGAAAAACTAAAGGCAGCGTGATGTCTTCGGTGGAGTCGCCGTCCCCAACCATTTGGAAGAGGGGCGTTTCATCGCTGTTACTTCCCTCGCGATGATCTGTGCAACACGGAGATATTTAGACATACTCAACTTTGTTCTTGCCTAAGCCCAGATCATCACAATTCTCACCAATGAAGATGACTCCTATGGCTCCGGTCTGCTGCAGCCATCGAGCTTTTGCAGCAAACATGCAGTCACCTCGCAGCACCAGAGCGATGCGGCCTTTAAGCTCTGCTGCGTTATCCACCGGCCCACACGCAGTGTAGGGCGACACTTTCACTATGCTGCCCTTCACCTGTGGCAGAGAAACTTGTTTGCGTGTGTTTTGATGTTTGAGATTAGACAGAATGTTGAATTAGAACCTGCTGCAGCAAACAAAACCTCAGCATAATTATCGTCTCACCCCGTGCTCCTGCTTAGTGAGGTCCATTCCAAACTTGGCCGGTCCCGCGGTGAGAACGGTCCTGCCCAGGAACGGAGGAGATATGAGCTGAACAACATGTGGTACCACCGCCTCCTCTTCTGGTGTGGCTCCTACTTCTGCAACAATCCTGACCCGGTACACTCCCTTCTGCTCCTGTACAGGTAAGCATTAAAACATTAAGTAAAAAGACCTTCAACTTCTACTTAATCTAAATCCTTTTGATTCCTGTAACATTCCATTGAAAGGACATTTGTTTAGTAAATGTTGATTTCACTGAGTTTAAACATGAACTCACTAAACCTGCTAGCTAAATATCATTAACGACTCAGGCTAGCAGTCTAAAGCTGAAACTGATTTTTGATTTTGTTTGAGAGAAGCTTCTAATTTTTTATATTACCTGAACTGAAACAGTTTCAGAAAGATAGTTTTGCCATATTGGAGTTTTTTATATTATATTACACACTTGTTTATTAGAAATGTGAGCATCTGAACCAGTTTTTGACAGCTGATAGGGAAAATGTGCATGTTTTATCAGCTTTTGTTTAAGTAATGTTGACTTTAAATAACAGGCTGCACAGTGCTGCAGTGGTTAGCACTGTTGCTTTGCAACAAGAAGGTCCTGGGTTCAAATTCCAGCCTGGGTTCTTTTTGCATATGAATCTGTATGTGCTCCTCGTTCATGTGTGGGTTCTCTCTGGGTACTCTGGCTTCCTCCCACGGTCCAAAAACGTGACTGTCAGGTTGATCGGTCTCTCTAAAGTGTGTGTGTGTGTGTGTGTGTGTGTGTGTGGTGTGTGGTGTGTGGTGTGGTGTGTGTGTGTGTGTGTGTGTGTGTGTGTGTGTGTGTGTGTGTGTGTGTGTGTGTGTGTGTGTGTGTGTGTGTGTGTTGCCCTGTGATGGACTGGCAGCCCGTCCAAGGAGTACCCCGCCTGTGTGCCAGTAGACTGATGGAGATAGGCACCGGCTCCAAGTGGGTACAGAAAATGGATGGATGACTTTAAACCCAACAAACAGGTGATTTTTTTATGCTGTGTTATACTTAAAAGGTTTAAGAATTTATTTTTTTTTACAAGTGAACAATACTAGCCTACTGCTCGTGTGTATCTACTAGGGATGTCCCAATACAACACCGATATAGCAGCCTTCAGTATTGACTGATACCGATATCAATCCTTTATGATATCAGCACAAATCATACATATTTTTACCTATTTCGTAGTGTGGAATGTCTAAAAGGCTTGATTAAGTGATTTTACTCAAACAGAAAACAAAAGCCAGCAACAGTAAGTATAAAAACTGACCAATGTTTCATTAACCTTTGGTTGCATAAATGTGAACAGTTAGGGACATAAGGAAAAATAAACAATATTGTTCACTGACCAACTGCCACAAGTTACGTGTCTTCAGTTTCAATTTCACACACTGAGAAAATCCTCGTGCTATGTTATGATCCTGCTTCAAATCCAGGATGAGGTTGGACGTATTAATATTCCCCGGTTCTGTTCCACCACGGGAAACTTGTGCATGACAAGTGCTCCAATGAGCCAAAATTTTATGAAAAATACAGCCACATGGCCAATACTGTTTCTTGCTACTTTGCTAGCACACACTGTTCTGATCACGTGGAGTTTGCATGTTGGATCTGGGAGCTGATGGATAGAATTGCTAGAATGGAATTTAAAGCGGAACGTACTGCTAATATCGGAAATTTGTGATGCAGTCCCATATAATCCCATAGTGTTTTTAGGCCAGTATCAATATCGGAACGGGACATCCCTAGTATATACTGTACATATACTTTTTTTTTCTTTCTAATTATCCTCTAAGGTGTTTGTGCTGCTGTAACAAGTGAATTTCCCCACTGTGGGATGATTAAAGTCTATTTTATTCTACTCTATTTTATTCTAAAACTACTCCTCTATAAAGCATATGAAACATTGTTGGGTCTCACAACGGCCCAGGAGCCCTGAAAAATGGCGAAACACATCTCCATAATAAAGGCCTACAATGGAAAGACTGGTTTGCCCGGCCCACTCAGGATGTAAATACTAAATGAGCTGATTGGCCTGTTTAATCCGATGGCTCAATGATGCTGCCTGAAGCTGGTAACTGTGTACAGCCATGTACAGCATCCGGATAACTCCGTAGGCAAGCTGTGGATCCATCTGGCATTCATTCATTCTGGATATTTCCTCTACATCCGGAAATGTTGCATGTGTGCTCCAACATTTTTCTTTGTTGTTTTCCTCTAGTTAATCAAGGACATTGGATTAGCATTGTTCTGTGGTTAGCATTACCAAAACACCTCAAACTACCATGCTTCTTTTTCCTGCTTGTTTAAATGAGATTGATGTGAGAATCCAACCATGTTTGCCTTCATAACTAATAATTCTGTGCTGTGTGACCCAAGTGATGTGTTCGTCATCATTGTCGTTGTCTTCCTCCGCTTATCTGGGTCCGGGTCGCGGGGGCAGCATCCCAACTAGGGAGCTCCAGACCGTCCTCTCCCCGGCACACCACGGCTGTGCCTAGAAATTCTGTCCATAAAGGTTATGAACAGAACCGGTGACAAAGGGCAGCCCTGGCGGAGTCCAACCCTCACCGGGAACAGGTCTGACTTACTACCGGCTATGCGGACCAAACTCACACTCCTCTGGTAATGGGACTGAATGGCCCTTAACAGAAAGCCACCCACCCCATACTCCTGGAGCGTCCCCCACAGGATGCCCCTGGGGACACGGTCATACACCTTCTTCAAATCCACAAAACACATGTGGATTGGTTGGGCAAACTCCCATGCCCATTCCATCACCCTTGCAAGGGTATAGAGCTGGTCCACAGTTCCACGGCCAGGACGAAAACCACATTGTTACTCCTCAATCTGAGATTCAACTATCGATCGGACCCTCCTCTCAAGTACCTTGGAGTAGACCTTTCCAGGGAGGCTGAGGAGTGTGATCCCCCTATAGTTGGAACACACCCTCATGTCACCCTTCTTAAAGATGGGGACCACCACCCCGGTCTGCCACTCCCTAGGAACTGCCCCCGATGACCACGCAATGTTGCAGAGACGTGTCAACCAAGACAGCCCTACAACATCCATAGCCTTGAGATACCCAGGACGAACCTCATCCGCCCCCGGGGCTCCGCCACAGTGTAGTTGTTTGACTACCTCAGCAACTTCTGCCCCCGAGATTTGACAGTCCATCCCCAGGTCTCCCGGCTCTGGTTCCTCCTCAGAATGCGCATAGGTGGGATTGAGGAGCTCCTCAAAGTATTCCTTCCACCGTCCGACTATAGCCCCAGTTGACGTCAGCAGCTCCCCATCCCCACTGTAAACAGTGTGAGCGAGTTGCTGCCTTCCTCTCCTGAGGCACCGGACAGTTTGCCAGAACCTCTTTGGAGCCGATTGATAGTCTTTCTCCATGGCCTCACCAAACTCCTCCCAAGCCCGAGATTTTGCCTCTGCAACTGCCAATGCTGCACCCCGCTTGGCTATCCGGTACCTGTCTGCTGCCTCCGGAGACCCACAGACCAGCCACGCCCTGTAGGCCTCCTTCTTCAGCCTGACGGCTCCCCGAACCTCTGGTGTCCACCAGTGGGTAGGGGGTTGCCACCACGACTGGCACAGGCCACCTTGCAACCACAGCTAGCAACAGCCACCTCAACAATCACAGAGTGGAACAAGGCCCACTCGGAGTCAATGTCCCCCACTGCTCTCGGGACGCGGTCAAAGCTCTGCCGGAGGTGGGCGTTGAAGACCGTCTTAACAGGTTCTTCTGCCAGGCATTCCCAGCAGACCCTCACTATGCGTTTGGGTCTGCCAGGTCTACGCGGCATCTTCCGCTGCCATCTGATCCAACTCACCACCAGGTGGTGATCAGTTGACAGCACCGCTCCTCTCTTCACTCGGGTGTCCAAAACATACGGCCGCAGGTCGGATGATAAGACTACAAAGTCTATCATCGACCTGCGACCTAGGCTGCCCTGGTACCAAGTGTACCGATGGGCATCCTTATGTTCGAACATGGTGTTCGTTATGGCCAAACTGTAGCTTGCACACAAGTCCAATAACGAAACACCACTTGAGTTCAGATCAGGCGGGCCGTTCCTCCCAATCACACCCCTCCAGGTCAAGCTGTCATTGCCCATGTGAGCATTGAAGTCCCCCAGCAGGACAATGGAGTCCCCTGATGGAGCACTATCTAGCACTCGTCCCAGGGACTCCAAAAAGGGTGGGTACTCTGAACTGATATTTGGCCCATAAGCACAAACAACAGTCAGGACCCGTTCCCCGACCCGAAGGCGCAGGGAAGCTACCCTCTCGTCCCCCGGGGTAAACCCCAACACACAGGCAGAGAGTCTTGGGGCTAACAAAAAGCCAACCCCAGCCCTCCGCCTCTCACCCGGAGCAACTCCAGCAAAGGAGAGTGTCCAACCCCTCTCAAGGACTTGGGTTCCAAGTCGAGGTGAGTCCGACTATATCTAGCCGGTACCGCTCAACCTCTGCCACAAGCTCCTGCTCCTTCCCCGCCAGCGAGGTGACGTCCCATGTCCCAAAAACCAGTTTTCTTGTCCGGGGATCGGACCACCAAGGCTCCCGCCTTGGTCTGGCAGGCCCCATGGGCGAAAGCCCGGCCACCAGGCACTCGCTCACGGGCCCCAACCCCAGGCCTGGCTCCAGGGTGGGACCCCGGTAACCCTCCGGGCCGGGTACTCTGACTCTTTGTTTTTACATCCATGAAAGATCCTGTGAACCATTCTTTGTCTCACCCTTCACCTAAGACCAATTTGTCATGGGAGACCCTACCAGGGGCACAAAGTGCCCTAGACAACATAGCTCCTAAGATCATTAGGGCACTCAAACTCCTCCACCACGATAAGGTGACGGTTCAAGGAAGAGTCAAGTGATGTGTTCACGTCATCAAATTAGCATATCATGCTAAATATTTTTCCCAGTCAGGAAAGGGTTAATGGTATTTTTGTAAATGAAATTTTATGACCCAAAAATACATTCAATAGGAAAAAACCCAACATTATTTGGTTAGTTTGTCTTAAGAAAAGAGTTTTTACAAAAACGTAAAATATTAACATACCTTTTGGGTTGTGGGGTCTCCTAAAGTCATCTCTTTCAGAGAAGTGAGTGAGATGCCCATGCTCTTCAGAAACTCCATGGGTTCAATGCCATTATCGTGGAGCGGTAGCTCGATTTCCCTGAAAATGATTGAAAAAAAAAACTTCACATTTACAAATGAAACATATAAAATCTCAGCTGTAAACACAACATTTAACAAACTAGTCATACCTGACAGGTAGAGAGTGCAAGGCTCGTCCCACACCAGTGAGGTACTTGTAGCCATCCCTGATGGTTTTGGCAAATGAGGGGTTGTTGGGGAACAACGTCTCCATACTGGGGCAAGAGTGTGTGAACAGATCTTCATCATGAGAAACAGAAGTGTCCTCCTAAAGCACAAAAACACACAGAGAAGCTCGTGTAGCACCACCTGTCAGTCTGCATAGTAAAAAGGTCAGTCAGCATTTCAGTTGTTCTCTGAATAAACAAAAGTGAGCTCTGTTTAAGAAAAGAAATAAAATGATCTTTCATATAGTGCAGCGGTTCCCAAACTTATTTAGCCGCGCACCCCCTTCTATGTCCCAACCATGTCGACACACCCCCCAGCCCCACATCAGGGCATGTCATTATATATATATATATATCAAGCTAAACAGTCACTCGACAGCCAGGGTTAAAAATATATGATCGACCTTTTTCCCCATAACTTTCATTTTTTAAATAGTAATTAATAAGCATTCAATACCATTACAATTTCCTTTGATTTAATTTTAAATAAATATTTAGAGTGCCCAGGTAGCACATCAACAATGCAATTTAACGTTTTTCTTAAAGTAGGAACGTTTAACCTGTGCGGCCAGAGCGCTCTCCTTCCTTCTGCTCTGCGTAAACCTGAGCTGATCACCTACTTGTGCGTAATCAAATGTCTATAGGGGAAAAGATGGAAAAGCTATAGCCATGAGGTTCACTTTTGCCTCTGATAGACTTATTGCTGTTTTATGGTGTGGCTGAATCTGCGATCCGCTGCCACGCGGACTGGAAAAACAACTGCTGCAGTAACATGAGTTGTGGTCAGGTTCATGAGAAGTCACTGCTGAAGCGGACTCGAATTTCATACTTCATCCCAAAATAGAAGCTAATATCTTAATTTGACCTTGAATGAAAAATGTTGTTATCAGAGGCGGTTTTACCATTAGGCATAGGTAGGCGGCCGCCTGGGGCCCCCTTGTGTTGGGGGGCCCCCTAGCCCTGACCACCGGCACCCCTCTGTTAATGCCACAATATTCTTATTACCAACCTGTCGCTGCAGACGGGATTGGACATGTGCACTTCTCATTACCATAATTCCTGAACCGTTCAAGATATCATTAAAATTCCAAAAGTGCTGAAAAGATAAAAAAAATGGGGCTTTTCGTGCATATACAATGCATTACGGTAGCCACCGGGATTCCCTGTCTTGAGTGCAACAAATCACAACACAGATTCAGAGACATGCTGAGTTTGTCATCCGAAATGCTCCGTTTTATAACTTTTGAATGGCTGATCAGATTCAAATAATTCTAACGGTTCCTAAAAGTACATAAAAGCAGCTTTCCAACGATCTATAGCAAGAAGCAATCAGAGTTATGGAAAATATCGCTACGAGGGGAAATCCTGCTATACAGCCCGATTGAAACGGAGCGAAGCGCCATGGTGAAAGCGGATGACGTAACGGGGAAGCTAATTAGCATAGAAAGCCAGCATGAAATTATGAAAATGCCTCAAAGAAAATCTACACAATCCATTAGATGTCCCAGAAGGCTTATATCTGAAGACAGTGACCACGAAGGAGGACAGATCTCCAGTGAACCAGGGTATGAACGTTTATTTTTTATTTTTTTATTTGAACAACCCTCAACTATTTGCTAATTGTAAGATTCAGCTTCATTCCAGCATTACTTATCTTTTTACAATAAATAATTATTTTTGCTAAAACTAAAGTATTTGGTATAGCAGTGCACGGTGTGCAAGAGAAGCACCCCATGGAAGTGTGAGGTGCGCTCTGCCTGCAGCTGAAGAGAAACTGCTTCAAGGTCTACCACATCAAATAAAAACATCTGAAAGTTTACAAAAATAAATGGTCTTAAAAACTGCTAAAAAGATCCAAAGGTTCAAACTTTTTTTAAGAATAGATGCATTACAGATCAAAGTTAAAATTGGTCATTCCAAATTGTTTGCCCAGTAATTTAGAAGTTCCTGTTCAGTAATAAATGTAAAAAATTCAAATTCGTTTTTTACTTTTTTCACTTTTAAGCTGATTTTTTTAAGGCTTTAATAGAAATAAATTCTAAATACAAACCATACACTAAAAGCTGAGGCTGTTCTGAAAAAAGGAGAGTTACACACACTTTGTACATTTTATTACAATTTTACAGCCATAAGATTAAAATAATACCAGGCGGCCCTGTTATAATTATGGTCATAAGAGGGTTATTAAGACGGCGATGCACAAACAGGAAGTGATTGGTAGTCATTCCACTCCAATCCAGTTGGTGGCGGTAATGTGCCAAATGGTTGTTTGCCAAGTGCCATAAGACCACAAATAATAAGAAGAAGAGAGGCGGGAGCGTTCGTAACAAACTCAAAGCGATAGTCAAACCATTAAGCATGAAACTGAGTTATCCTAGTGGCTCCAATAAGAGAAAGAAGCAGCTTGCTTCATAAAAGCTTTTCTCTTCACTTCTGAAAGTGACTTTGTTTTTCTATGTAAACATCAAAAGGAAGCAGGAAGGAAAGACAATGGAAAATGTTTCAAGGGAGGAAAACATAGACCAAAATGGAAAATTGAAAAAAATAATAACTAAGGCTAAAGCACAGGAGCACTGACAGGAAGAAGAAAGCAGAGCAAATATTGAAAGCGCTCAAAGGGAGAGAAATACAGAAAAAAGAGGACTAATAAAAAGGGAAAATAAATCAAGTCAGGAGAGGGGGGAGTTTCGCAAATCCAGTTAAAGGTAAGATTGTCGAAAATTTAGTGTAAGGGGCCCCATGTCTGTGTTCGCCTTGGGCCCCCAAATTCCTAAATCTGCCCCTGGTTGTTATAAAACCTCTTAAAAGTTTTTATCACGGAGGAGGCAGTGCTCATTTCTACCTTCAGCCTGACGGCGTGGTGCGTGTGCTTATTGAATCTGTGTGTGTGTGTGTGTGTGTGTGTGTGTGTGTGTGTGTGTGTGTGTGTGTGTGTGTGTGTGTGTGTGTGGCACAGCTCCGTGAGCCGCTCCAGTCATTGCGTCTCGTTATTGGCGCTATTTAAACCAATGTTGTAAAATGACTTCTGCCCAGCCCAGATGTGCTCACATGTGCACCCGTGAGCCGTGGTTCCGCTGGAACGCGTCTGACCTCTGACAGACGCACTCTGAACTTCAGATCTTCAGCGCGCTGTTAATAGCCTGAATGGGAATCATTTCTTGATTTATTTTGTTACATCCACAATGTTCTGTGTGTGAGGTTTACAAGTTCAGAACACCTGCATGAGACAGGGTGTTAATTACAATCTGCCAGAATGACTCACCTTCAGATTCCTCCAACACCGTTAAAAATGATCAAATACGGAACATATCGGCGTGCGCAGGCCAGAGCGCTGAAGCTCGGCGCATTGTTATTATGAAGCTAGGGCACTTGCGGAGGACACACACACACGCACGCAAAATATACTTGTTTCCAATTACATTTATTGGGCCCACTTACTTTTTCTTAGGCCCATCCACAAATGAGTTTCTGGCTACGCTAATGGTGACATATGACAGACTTCTCTGAGCTCCGCAGCCATTACACTTTTTAGCTTGCGCGCCCCCTAGCGGCAGCTTACCCCAAAATTCCACTATCTCCTCTCCGCTCCGCCCCCGCTTTCCGCTGCTGCTCGCTTCCGAACTCAAATCATACTGTACCCGCTCTACAACGGCTCCACTCCGGTGCGGAGACCTGAGGTGCACAAACAGGCATGCGTGGGATTTTCGAGATCTTGCGATACAGTCTGAGCAATAAACGCGGAAGTTAGATCCAAACACCCGTTGTGTGGGAGAAGCATCAAAATGAACTGTTTAATCTGCCCATCATTTGTGTTGAGACATCAGCAGTGTTTGGATCAACAAAGTGTGACTACTTTGATAGTGGAAACTGTATTTATGGCTTATTTTTGTGCATTTAAAGTTCAGCCGCCATTGACAGTTGTTAAAAGTTGTTAAACCTGTGCATATGAAACAAAAAACGCTTTTTGTTTATCGATTTATTGTGAAATAACGGAAGTTGTGCTCGCTCCTTTTCCTGTTGGGCGGTTGTGATTTCTGTCCATTGACTGCAGAGGTGCTCCGGCATCCGGCAAAAATAGAATCGATCCTATTTTTGCCGGATGGCGGAACGGCGGGCGGCGCACTGCGCCGCACGGCCGCGGTAGTGGAACAGCTCTGATTGACTACAACGGGACTGTTCTTGCTGCGGAGTTCGTGCCGGAGCGGAGGTAGTGGAATTTTGGGGTAAGGGAATCCCTGATAGTGTGATAAAAATCACAAGGTGCTTCACAAGAACTAAGAATTCAAAATACAAAAAGTCTTCAAAAATGGTTAAAAATAAGGTTAAAATTAGAAGAAAAAAACCATAATAAAAGTAAAGATTTGTGATTAAAAGATGCAAGGAAAGGGAGAGAGAACATGAACAGGAAAGAGGGAAATCAATGGATCTTGAGAAAGGCAGAATTGGTAGAAATAGCAGAACAAGGAGAGGGTGATCAAGGTCACACCAAAGCCAGCTTGAACAGGTGAGTTTTCAGCTGCTTTTTGAAGGAGACCACTGAGTCCACTGATCTCAGACTCAGGGGGAGAGAGTTCCAGAGTCTGGGGGCCACAGCAGCAAATGATCTGTCACCTTTGGTCTTTAGCCTGGTGCTGCACAACCAGTAGGCTTTGATCACTGGACCTCAGGGACCTGCTGGGGGTGTAGGGACTAAGAAGATCACCAATGTAAGATGGTGCTTGTCCATGTAAGGCCCTAAAGACCAGAACCAGGATCTTGAAATGAACCCTGAAGTTGACTGGCAGCCAGTGAAGCTGGAGGAGAAGCGGGGTGATGTGGGTGTGTTTGGAGGACTTGGTCAGAAGCCGAGCACAGGCATTCTGAACCACCTGTAGACGGTTCAGGGAGGCTCTGCTCAGACACGTGAAAAGAGAGTTACAGTAGTCTAAGCATGAGGAGATGAAGGTGTGGAGAACTGTCTCAAGTTCAGAGCGAGACAGAATGGGACTCAGCTTAGCAATGTTCCTGAGATGGAAGAAGGAAGAGCGAACAAGAGAACTGACATGAGAATTCAGTTTGAAAGCTGGGTCAAAAGTCACACCAAGATTCCTGACAGAGGGTTTGGTGTGAGAAGCAAGCTGACATGTTATACCCCAAACCTTCATCCTTTCATGACATATCCCCAACCTGCACTGAAGCACAGGGGAGAATAAATAAGTTTGTTATAGAGGGAGTTTTTACCGTAGCGTTGGCTTGAGAAGGTGCCTGAGTGATGGAGAGAGTGACGGGCAGAAGGTGGGCCTCTGTGGTGAAGATGTAGTCATCAATATTAATGGGCAGCTGGCTCTTCTCCGAAAACATCAAGTACAGATACTTAAACATCTCAGCCAGAAAGAACGAGTCCATCCTACACACACACACACACACAGAGAGAGAGAGAGAGAGACAGAGACAGAGAGAGAGAGACAGAGACAGAGACAGAGACACAGAGAGAGAGAGCGAGAGAGAGAGAGAGAGAGAGAGAGAGAGAGAGAGAGAGAGAGAGAATGTGTGAATGCAAGATCAACAGGTAGGACTTACAGCCTAGAGGGTGGGGTCTTAGCTACCTGTCTTCGTGTGTCCCAGTGCGGACATCTTGCACAGCAGCGAACCCACAAGGCACCCTGGCATAGGTGTTGAGCTTTTCCACGATGGACTGTCCCACTCTGAGGTAGTACGGGTCACCGGTGGCCTGCACAAGTCAAAGCAGGTTTGTTAAACAGCAACGTTTCTAAAAACATTTACAAAGATTTTGACTGTTTTTTTTCCACCTTGTAGAGGTAGTAGGTGCTTTCTGCAAACTCTGGTCTCAGGAGATGCTGACCCCAATGAACTCTGAACTCTGTGGTGAAAGCCTGAATGGAAAAAAAGCAAAAGCATTGTTTTTCTGACTTGGTTTAAAAAACAAATGTCAGATTTGTCACTAATCCTCACCCTTTCACACATTTAATCTCTGCTTATAAAAACAAATAAAGCAGAAGAGGAGCAGATTATTTACCTCTGGAAGGAACTTGTGCTGCTTGGTGACTTGGTAAAGCATCTCGTGGGTTTCAATAGCTGGTTTCAGATCACCTCTCAAAACCTGAATATTTTAGTTAATAAAAACTTTTTAAAGACGTGCAAAACGTTCTCCTGGTCTTCATCCAATTGAAGTGAAGTTCATCTAACCTGTAATCCAGGGAAGAACGCGAGCAGAGAGTCCATCCAGCTACGAACACCCACAGTGGGGTTGTGCATGTGTACGTTGAGCAGCAGGGGAGGCTGACTGATGTACTTCATTATGGCGCTGTAGTGCTGCAGTACACATGAAAAGTGCATCATGATTACTGGGACTTTTCAGCTCCAACAGCAGCTAACATTATAAAAAGGTGTGTGTTAATGATGCAGCAGCAAGAAAAATAAAACACGACCGACAGACTCACGGTGTTGAACCTCTGCAGAAAAACATGATCTCCTAGAAGAATGTAGGCCTTCATCAGATATTCGTAGTACGAGTCGATTCCTGCACCAACCCCGCTCTCTGCAAACAAAAACGTACTCTGACTGAGGCTCTATTATTTGAATTAAATAACCTTGTTTTCCTGTTTGGAGGTGTCTTACCTCTCCGGACCCATTCTCCGTTGTGAATATTGATGACAGTCCCCACCAGGTCACTTCCTTTTTGTCGTCTCTCCCAGAGGACGTCCAGAGCCTTCCTGGCATGTTCCTAACATTAATAAGTATTAAGGTAAAAATAATGTATTATTATTATTATTATTATTATTATTATTATTATTAATGATGAATAAAATATTAATTAAAATGTATATATAAAATTGTAGCGTGACGAATGTCCTGTTTTTGACCTAAAGGTCTGCTCGAGCTGAGACATAAAGTCTCTGACAGGCTAATCTACACGAGATAGTGGCCAAGGTCTTTCATGCACTCTGCTCATCTGAACTGCTTCACCTTTGTTACCAAGACGAAGACGAAGAACTATTTTGATAAATACATAATCAACAACTTTGTCATTACCAATAATAATGTGAGCCCAATGTTCAATCAATCTGTGAAATGACATTGTTATTATTTGATATTATAATTCTGTGATCAGTAGTATTTTACAAGTTATTACAATCTTGGACATTTGCACTAGACACTGTAATGATGTGCATTGTTGTTTGGCTTGGTTGGTTCCGCAGTGTGTTGTGTTGCTGCACGGGCGTTTTTAGAGTACGCACCGTTATAGGATGCCGGCAGAGACTGTATGTTGGTGAAGTCTTGTTAATAAACCTTACTACCCCGTTGGGTAGGAAATAGATATTCTGGAGTTTGTCGTGAATGAGACCAGAATATAACAGACACTGATGACACGCAATGCTAAAGTCACACAACACATTTCCTTTTGTCTGATCCAATCAGAACCTTCGTTTCTGGGGCTAGGCATGGTTTTCTGTGGTGTTTGTATAAACCCCCTTTTGCATGTCAAATTCTGATTCGCCAGTAAACCAAAATATGACAATTATAAAAATGCCACCTTTTCTTTAGTTCAAAGCGTTCTAGAGAAGTCTTGGACAGGTCATCCGGACTTCCTCTTCAGCCATAAAGAACCTCGACAAGCTGGATAAAATCTGTTGCAAGTTACACCTGACCGCAATGGTTCCTTCAGAATAAAAGCTGAACCTCACGACCCCTTCAGGGTCTCGGAGACGCCAGTGATAACCTGTCGTGACCTGGAAGCATTCCAAGACTAGTTTGGTCGGCACTGCTGCTTTTCTACCAGCTTCGGTAAGAAGGAGGGTCCTTGAGGACCTCGGCATTCTGGATCTAACAGAGGCTTCCCCTGGGTACGTAGACCGACAGATGGCGTTTCATGTGTGTTATAAATCTCCTACTAAAGTTTAGAGCGAAACATTCACTTCCACTCAGAACTAACTGCTTCTCCGGATCCGCTGGTTCTGAATAACATTTCACACACACACCATCATCATTCATCACGTCTCACTCCACCTTAGTTCCATAAGTTCACAGAGTGTTTAAGTTAGTCTGATTTAAATTGTGTAGAAATAAATTTCTTAACTATTTTACACCTGGCTCCCTCTCTTTCCTTGGAGTTAATACAAAGTGTCAGGTAATCCCTGCAATAAAAAGTTCCGATCTTTTGGTTAAAATATTCAAAGATCCATCAGATTTGATATTTCATATTTCTATGGAATCTCACTTTTTATGGTTCATAAGTAAGATGTAAACGACCCATTCTTTACTAAATAAATTAAAAATATTAATAAATTAAGAAAAAATAAATGAACAAACAAAAAATAAATTTAAAAATATTTTAAATATTTAAATTAAAATGGTTAAATATAAATATAATAATAAAGTAAAAAAAAAAATCCATCCATTCTCTTCCGCTTATCCAAGGTCGGGTCGTGAGGGCAGCAGTCTAAGCAGACTTCCCTCTCTCCAGTCACTTGGGCCAGCTCCTCCAGGGAAATCCTAAGGCGTTTCCTGACCAGCTGAGAGATACAGTCCCTCCAGCATGTTTTGGGTCACCCTTTAGGTCCTTGGGACAATCCATGATGAGCACAGAAGTCTAATAACAAAACACCGCTCTGATTCAGATCGGGGGACCAATCATCCTAACCACACCTCTCCTGGTCTCACTTTCGTTGCCCACGTGAGCATTAAAGTCCCCCAGCAGAACGAGGGAGTAGCCAGAAAGGAGCACTCTCCAGCACCTCTTCCAAGGACTCCAAAGATGGTGGGTAGTCTGAACTGTAGTTTGGTGCAAAAGCATAAACCACAGTCAGGACCCGTCCCCCCACACCTAGGCAGAGGGAGGCTACCCTCTCACTCACTGGGTTAAACCCCAGTGTGCAAGCACCAAGATGGGGCACAACAAGTATGCACACCCCTGCTCGGCGTCTCTCAGTGGGAGGAACTCCAGAGTGGTAGAAAGTCAGCTGAGGTGAACCCAACTATATCTAGCCGGAACCTCTCAACCTCACACACCAACTCGGGCTCCTCCCCATCAAAGAGGTGACATTTCAAGTGCCCAGAAACAGCCTCTGTAGCCTAAGGTCCATACCCTCGGCTACTTTCCATCTCACACTGCACCTGACCCCTTTGGCCACTCCTACAGGTGGTGAGCTCATGGGAAGGGGAACCCATGTCTCCTCTTCGGGCTGTGCCACCAGGCACTCGCCAGCTTGCCGCACCTCCAAGCCTGGCTGCAGAGGGGTGCTATAGGTGGCCCACGTCCAGGCGAGGGAACACCATTTCCATTGATATTAATTATCATAGGAGTCTTTGGATTGCACTTTGTCTGATCCCTCATATACACTCAACAAAAATATAAACGCAACACCTTTGTTTCTGCTCCGATTTTTCATGAGATGGACTTAAAGATCTAAAATTCATTCCAGATACACAATATTACCATTTCTCTCAAAAATTGTTCACAAATCAGTCTAAATGTGCGATAGTGAGCACCTGTGCTTTGCTGAGATAATCCATCCCACCTCACAGGTGTGCCACATCAAGATGCTGATCAGACATCATGAGTAGTGAAAAGGTGTACCTTATACTGCCCACAATAAAAGGCCACCCAGGAATGTGCAATTGTTTGCTTTATTGGGGGTCTGGGGACTCAGAACCAGTCAGTATCTGGTGTGACCACCATTTGCCTCATGCAGTGCACCACATCTTCTTCGCATAGAGTTTATCAGATTGTCAGTTGTGGCCTGTGTAATGTTGGTCCACTCCTTTTCAATGGCTGTGCAAAGTTGTTGGATATTAGTGGGAACTGGTACACGCTGTCGTATATGCCGGTCAAGCACATCCCAAACATGCTCATCGGGTGACATGTCTGGTAAGTATGCTGGCCATGCAAGAACTGGGACATTTTCAGCTTCCAAGAATTGCGTACAGATCCTTGCAACATGGGGCTGTGCATTATCTTGCTGAAACATGAGGTGATGTTCATGGATGTACGGCACAATGGGCTTCAAGATCTCATCACGGTATCTCTGTGCATTCAGAATATCATCAATAAAATGCACCTGTGCTCTTCGTCCATAACAGATGCCTGCCCATACCATAACCCCACCACTACCATGGGCCACTCGATCTACAACATTGACTTCAGCAAAGCGCTCACCTACACGACGCCACACACGCTGTCTGCCATCTGCCCTGAACAATGTAAACCGAGATTCATCCGTGAAGAGAACACCTCTCCAACATGCCAGACGCCATCGAATGTGAGCATTTGCCCACTCAAGCCTGTTACGGCGACGAGCTGGAGTCAGGTCAAGACCCCGATGAGGACGACAAGCATGCAGTTGAGCTTCCCTGAGACGATTTCTGACAGTTTGTGCAGAAATTGTTTGGTTATGCAAACCAATTGTTTCAGCAGCTGTCTGAGCGGCTGGTCTCAGACGATCTTGGAGGTGAACCTGCTGGATGTGGAGGTCCTGGGCTGGTGTGGTTACACGTCGGCTGCGGTTGTGAGGCCGGTTGGATGTACTGCCATATTCTTTGAAATGCCTTTGGAGACAGCTTATGAACATTCAATGCATGAGTTGACATTCCTGCTGTCAGCATGCCAAATGCATGCTCCCTCAATGCTTGTGGCATTTGTGGCATTTTGCTGCGAGACAAAACTGCACATTCTAGGGTGGCCTTTTATTGTGGGCAGTATAAGGTACACCTGTGCACTACTCATGATGTCGGATCAGCATCTTGATGTGGCACACCTGTGAGGTGGGATGGATTATCTCAGCAAAGCAGAAGTGCTCACTATCACACATTTAGACTGATTTGTGAACAATGTTTCAGAGAAATGTTAATATTGTGTATCTGGAATGAATTTTTGATCTTTAAGTCCATCTCATGAATAATCGGAGCAGAAACAAAGGTGTTGCGTTTATATTTTTGTTGAGTGTATATTTTTATTATTATTAAAGAAAATTATAAAACCATATTTAGAATTTAAATCATAGTAAAAACATACTATATGACAACCTTCAATGACAGCTATAATTACAATCACATTGGGAAATACACATAAAAGCAGTTTTACCTCAAACACAGACTCTCCTGACAGTCTGCTGAGAGCAGCAAACTCCAGGATCATTGTGCCAGCACATGCCGTGCAGGTATCCGACTCCGTGCCCGTACGGGAAAGTGGGTTTACGATGCCATACCGCAGATTCACCTGGTGAACAAAACCACAGTTCAAGGTCATTTTAATAAAGATTACAAGCATTCAATAAGAAATGTGCCATGGCTACCTTTGGGAAGGGAAGGCCACTTGTGGTGTTGAAGGCAGGAAGTAATCGATGGCCTAGCTCTACAGCCATGTGTAGGAGCTCGTCATGGTACCACTGCATCTTCTCCCCACGCTGCTTCAGCAGATCAGCCATAACGTGTCCCCCCAGCAGCCCACTGGAGAGACCATTTCATCCAAATTCAACAATAGTGGGCTTTTATGAAGACAGAATAGAATTTAAAAAAAAGCACAAAAGGTTCCAGTCGGATAAGATGTATACCCTAAAACTCTGATGTTGGTCTCAAACACCGACACCACCACATCGTTGTCGAACCGTACGTCCGACACAGCCTTCCTCACTGCCTCCTCAAACTCTTCAAGCTTATTTAACACCTGGGTGTTACACAACAAGAATAAACACATAAATTAGAGGATAGAGAAAATTTTAGTGAGACAATATGCTAAAAAGAAAAGTAAAACAGACTCCCATTACGATACTGAAATGACACAAAGCCTGTACTCACCACCAGGGTATCGAGTGTATCGATCAGTGTGAGAGAAAACCTACAGAAAGAAAAAAGCAGGATTGTTTAAGACTTTTTACTCATTTCAATTATAACTAATCACTGATTGTTCAATGACAAGCCGTTTGAATTAGTAGCAAAGTTACAATATTCACCATCTGCGGTACGAAATCTGATTTATTTTAGTATTTGTTCACATTCTATTGATTTAAATGTTTTTTTTTCTTTTAAAGTTAATTAGATTCTTGTGTCTCGAAAAATAAAATAAAATAGTTCCAGAAATGTCCCCATGAAGTAATCACCGATTTCCATCCATCCATTTTCTTCCGCTCATCCGGAGTCGGGTCGTGGAGGCAGCAGCCTAAATCGAGAGGCCCAGACTTCCCTCTCCCCAGCCACTTGGGCCAGCTCCTCGGGGGGAATCCCAAGGCGTTCTCTGGCCAGCTGAGAGACATAGTCCCTCCAACATGTCCTGGTTCTCCCTTTAGGCCTCCTCCTGGTTGGACGTGCCCAGAAAAACCTCACCAGGGAGGCATCCAGGAGGCATCCTAATCAGATGCCCGAGCCACCTCAACTGGCTCCTCTAAATGTGGAGGAGCAGCGGTTCAACTCCAAGCCCCCTCCCGGATGACCGAGCTTCTCACCTTATCTCTAAGGGAGAGCCCAGCCACTCTGCGGAGAAAACTCGTTTATGCCGCTTGTATCCGAGATCTCGTCCTTTCGGTCACTACCCAAAGCCCATGACCATAGGTGAGGGTAGGAACGTAGATCAACCGGTAAATCGAGAGCTTTGCCTTCTGATTCAGCTCTCTCTTCACCATGACAGACTGGTACAACGCCCGCATCACTGCAGATGCAGCACCAATCCACCTATCGATCTCACGCTCCAGTTTTCCCTCACTCGTGAACAAGACCCCGAGATACTTAAACTCCTCCACTTGGGGCAGGACCTCATCCCTGACCTATGGGCCATTCCCATCTGTACTGGGTCGGCCCGGGCCGGGTAGCGTAGGTTGTTTACATATCTGGGTGGCCTGGTATTTTTCCGGGCCAACCAAGGCTCATTCTCAGCCCTCTTCTCGAGGGGGTCTGCTTCAGGCCGACCAGGGCCAACACACCCACTGCTGACAGCAAATGCACACCTTCCATTAGAGCAAGCCTCTGATTGGTGGGTAGAATCAGCCCACATGGGCTTAAGACAAGGATGTGTGGAATCAACCGGGCCAGGCTGGGGCCGACTGGGGCCGACTGGGGCAACCCGGCCCGGGCCGACCCGGTACAGATGGGAATGGCCCACTAGAGAAGGCATTCTACCCTTTTCTGAATCAAGACCATGGTCTCGGATTTAGAGGCGCTGATTCTCATCCCAGCTGTTTCACTGATATATAGAATTAATATGCATTGATTCCTCTTGAAGGAAAAAGCAAGTTACAATGAGTTAGAAATAAAAACAAGAAGGAATGCTAAAGAGCCTTAGCTAGATACCTATGAAAAAAAATTAAGTACTTTTGGCTTGGATTCAAACTGGATATATTTATCTCCAGTGAACCTTTTTGCAGTTATCTTCACTTTTATAAGAAGAAGAAGAAAATATCTGGTTAGAGCTGCTGCCTTGCAGCAAGAAGGTCCTGGGTTCGCTTCCCAGCCTGGGATCTTTCTGCTTGGAGTTTGCATGTTCTCCCTGTGCATGTGTGGGTTCTCTCCGGGTACTCCTGCTTTCTCCCACAGTCCAAAAACATGACTGTTAGGTTGATTGGTCTGTCTAAATTGTCCTTAGGTGTGAGTGTGTGTGTGCATAATTGTTTGTCCTGTGTTGCCCTGCGATGGACTGGCACTTTGTCCAGGGTGTACCCCGCCTGATTGCCCATTGACCGCTGGAGATAGGCACCAGCCCCCCCACGACCCTACGTGGACGAGCGGGTTCAGATAATGGATGGATGGAAAAGAACTTTTCTATAGCACCTCTCAAGATAAAAATCATTAGGCGATCTTACTTCCCCAAGGAGTCGTCTATGTCCCCTCTGTTTGGCTCTTGTCCACGGACTCTCCCCTTGCAACTCAAAGGCATCAGCTCATCAGCAGGGTAGGCATGTTTCTGCAACAGTAAAGACTGCAATTAGGCCCATTAGGATTTATTACATTGTATTATTATTTGTCTCAGTGCAGGGAATTCTGACACGTATTGTTTCCACGTTTTCAATGTCTGTCTAAAGGAAAAAAATAAAGACGTCAACTAATTTTCTCAAGACACATTTCAATAACCAACCATAAGTATCGATCATTTGGATTAATTCATTATAATAAAAGAGGTTGGGCATTTTGGGAACTCTATAAAAATGTGAAATGTCATTAAGAAACAAAGAAATGTTCAATTCAAAGTTTTCTGAGTTTTTCTGGATCTGTTAGTCAATGAGGACACCATAAGCAGATCGTTTTGTCTGGATCGTTAATGTTTTGCAGCTTTGCTGTTCTTTATCTAAACCCTCACCAGCTGTCTTGAAAACATTTGTCTTTGCAACACAAGACACTGCTCACTTTACATTAACTTTTTATTGAAATGTATCCAGAATTTCACTTTTGCCACACATCTCAACATAATTTACTTTCTCTGAGCCGTCCAAGGTTTGATTTCCGTCTACAAAACAGCATCATGATGTATCATGCACACTCAGGCAATCACAACAGATAGAACAGCTGTCCCAAGCTCATGGGTGGACAACCATACAGAATGTTAAAATAAACACACAAATCCACTAATAATATATTTGTCTCCAGCCAGCCGATGACTCATCTTGCCTGTGAATTGATGCATCTAGAAAATAACAATCCAGCAGCAATTACGGCTCTAACTTCAGATTAAAATCCTTACCATGTAACTGCCATAAGCGTGGTCAAACATTTCAATAATTTGGTGCCTGTAAAATAAATGATGGAATAAAGCAGATTAATCAAGAGAGTTCTCCTACAGACACAGGTTCAACTTGATTCTACATCTAAGCACTTCTGACCTGATGCTGGTCTTCTCCTCCAGGGTCATGCTCTGGGTCTCCTGACTGTGCGTGCAACCAAGAAGACTGATTATCACAAGTGTCTCCAGCATCATCGTGGTGCAAGAAGAGTGGCCCAGTTTCCAGATGGCTTCAGGTCTCCTCGTGTGGTTTTAGCTTTAATGGTAACAAGTAAACTCCTGCTCTCCGCCCACGCAATGTCAAACAGTCCAGCTGTTCTCCCTTTCAGCCCAACTCATCCTCTTTTTTTTACAAAGGTAAATAGAACAGTTTGGGCTACCTCCTAATTTCCACATTTCTACCCTGGATTTTCTGTTGAGGATCCAGTCCTGCTAGGACCAAATCGGAACCACAGAGCCCCTCGGATGATGAGAATGCATGTAAACAAAGAAGGAAGCTAGCTTCAGCTCGTAGTGCTGGGAGGAACCCTGCCAGCTCGTCGTTGGCTACGCTAACAGCTGGCAAATATGCTAACTCGTAAAACAATATAAGTAGGCCTGAGCGACATTTTCAACTTAATCTGAATAAAAATGATTAACTTATCTAGTAAATTATTTCCAACCCAGTGAACAGGCGCTGAGTCGATGAGAAGAAGTCTGTAGGAGCCGAGCTGTCAGGCAACAGAAGGCTGGCTGCTAGCCGGCTGTGAAGCTGGGTATTTTAACCCTCAGTTTACCTGTCAGGCAACATCGTGCCACGTAAGATCAGAGCAATGCCTTGTTTTGAGTAAATGTAACCACAATTCGTTCCTGCTTCTTGAAATATTTTCATTTAAATTATATAGATATTTATGTCAGGGCCATATAAATGGATACACAATTTTAATGTTACGTTTATTGACAATTTAGGAATTCAAGTGACCTTACAGGTATAACTGAGGAGTAATTTTACATCTCAAAAAACGAAACGAACAGTGACAATAAAGTCACGTGACACAATCAATTTTAATTTGATTACTTCTAACACTAACGTCATGTTATATATTTACATCACGTTTCGTAAAAATGTCCAACGTTCCAGGTAACTGGCTAAAATAAATGTAGCTGGAATTAAAAGTGCCCTGCGATGGACTGGCACTCTGATCAGGGGGTGTACCCCGCCTGATTGCCCATTGACAGCTGGGGATAGGCACCAGGACAGCATGGACAAGCGGGTTCAGAAAATGGATGGATGGATGGAATTAAATGTATTTAATTCAATTCAAAAATACTTTATTAATCCCAGAGGGAAATTGATTAAATTTATGTTCTGCTGCAAAGTCACTTTTTGAATGGCCACAAGATGTCACTGCTTTTCATTTGCAAAATGCCCCTGTCCGAATTTTCTCACATTTGACAGCGTGTAAATTGTTTTTTTTTTTTTTTGGTTGTTTTTGTTGTTTCAATCTTAATACGTCTTTAGTCACATGTTGTTAAAATAACCCTACAATACTTTTAACTTCATTCTAACAGTGCCAAGCAGGACATAACGGGTTAAGCATAAGCTACATCGTGATGAAATAAGAGATAAGATCGAGTAAAAACGCATCTCATCCCGTCTCATTTCTTCCTCCTCCATCCCCGTTCAAACCCTGAAAACAAACATTTAGTTGGGTTAAGTAAAGGAAGCATATGCATTTCCTGTTTAAACTATCGACATATATATGGTTTAAACATATGCTAAACCGTAATAGACCGTGTATGTATGCAGTGATTGTAGAATAACTAATGTTATTTATGTGGTTTAAGCAGATCGGAGCGTGGAGGAGGAGGACTTCCCATAATGGGCGTTTCTTTCCATAAGTTCTCTGAAAGGTGTGGCTGCTTGTGCTCACTGTGTGAAAACATCTATTCTGCCGTCAGATCTGTTCATTTGGGTAAGAAAAACATATTTTCTGTTGTTTCTTACTGTCCGTCTGCCCATATGGACTATAGATTTTGTTTTGTTTTGCTTGTTGAAGCAGAATTCGTTTTTTTCCCCACATCAGAATCGCCGACTCTTCTGTAGTTATATGTGCGCACATCCACTGATAAAACTGAAATCGGAAAAATTGTGGGATTTTGAAGGATTTGTTTATGATAGCTGATTAACTGAGCAGCAGCAGTGAGGAGGGACAATGGCTGACATTTGATGCTTTCCCCCTTTTCCAGGTTGAAACCCTTTTTCTCCAACTGTAAACATGTCTGTTTGGGTGAGTTTTTCTAAAAACCCCTCTGACAAACAGGATTTTAATATATTTCTGCCTCCAAATGTTAAATACGGGTTATGATTTATGCTTATTTTCTTCAGGATGACCTGGACCTGCTGTTAGATTCCCCCTCCGCTTCCTCTTTGCCTTCAGTCACTTCCACAGTAAGATGAGCCAGCAGTTACTTTCACTGAAACATGTTTTATGTGGTACATGAGCAGGTGTGGTTTGTGTTTGCCAGTCTAACACAAGAGGAAGTGTGAAGGACAAGCCAAATTTCAAAGTGGAAGAAGATGTTGCTGCTCTAAGAAAAGCCATAGAGGGCATTGGTGAGCTAATGAATTACCATTATCAGCAATTTTTGCAATTAAATTGAAATAAAAATCCTATAAATATGTAAAACACTCATAATTTTCTACCCAATACAAACATGCACCATTTTATTTTGTGCTGTGATAAAGTTTTTGCACCTAACAAAATATCTTCTGTTTCTGTTGCACTTAAAGGTTTCAGGTCAGCTAACAAAGACCAAATAATTGCGAATGACTGAACTACATGCTGAGTTCAGTTTTGCTTGTCACACCCAGGTCTGATTACTAACAGACCAGTAGAAGGAACGTAGAACCTGAATAACATCATGATATACAGGTGAAACTGGAAGAATTAGAATATGGTGCAAAAGTTCATTTACGTCAGTAAAAAATGTGAAACTAATATACAAAGCCAGATATTTCAAGCCTTTGTTTGTTATAATTGAGATGATTATGGTTTACATCTTATGAAAATCCCAAATTCAAAATCTCAGACAGTTAGAATATTGTGAAAAGGTTCAATATTCTAAAATGGCCTGTATAGCGCCTTCTAGAGTCCTGGAACCCCCCAAGGCACTTTACAACACAATCAGTCATTCACCCATTCACACACACATAGCCACAGCTGCCCTGGGGCGTACTGTCTTGCCCAAGGACTCATCAACAGCGACCGACTGAGTGGGGCTCGAACTTGCAACCTTCTGAATACGGGACGAGCACTTAACTCCTGTGCCACTGTCACCTCATTCTAGAATAAAACTGTCACTCTCCAATCAGTTAATGAATCCAAAACACCTGCAAAGGTTTCCTGAGCCTTTAGATGGTCTCTCGGTCTAAGCTGAATTACTGAAATAGACTTTTGCACCATATTCAAATTTTTCCAGTTTCACTAACTAGTTTAAATCTCAAAAAGCAACACATTGGGCCCCATCTGAAGCACTGCAGGCTGCACTTGTTTTAGGTTAGAGGTCATGGGTGTGGGGATATACAGGTATAAACTAATAAAGCATTTCAGAAGAGTAATTAACCACGTTGGTGGTAGTGTGATGGACAATGGGGCTGCTTTGCTGCTGCAAGACCTGGACCACTCACTGTAATCAGTGGAACCATGAATTCTGCTCTCTAGCAGAAAACTCTGAAGGAGAATGTCTGACCATTGACTTTAACCCGCCCACTGTCCTAATGGGTGTGACCCCACGAGGAAAGTTGACCATTGAGCAGGGTTGATGGTTTATCCCTTGGGTCCATGTGGCAGGGGTGAGGAGTGAGCACCACCTCACTCCTGCCATGTGGACCTCAAGGGACGAACCATCAATCCTGCTCAATGGTCAACTTTCCTCGCGGGGTCACCCATAAGACAGTGGGAAGGTGAAAGGTGTGGAACATATTCTTAATCTATACATTTGCAGGGGTGTCCAGTAAGAATGAATTAAGTCATGCTCTGGGAAAACAAAGCTCCAGTGCACCTGTTTCAGGAAGTACAAGCACGACAGACCAGAGAAACTAGCTTCAGATGGCAGGTTTTGGAGTATTTTTTTCCCTGATATTTGGACACCTCTGATTGGATAACAGCAATGTGACTCTACCACTGACCCCGTTTGCTTTGCAACACTGATGTTTTATCTCCACAAATAGCACAAGGTTGAAGGAGTTTTGCGGTGTGGTGGAGTTGCTAATGCTAATGGTTAGCTTGTGCTAACCGAGACATTCTCTGCTGTTTCTTGAATACTAAAACAACAGCCTTCCCCCTCGCGAGTCAAGATGGGTGTGCCAAGGCGTAATATGCATTCACAAGTCTGGTGTTGTTGCAATTTTAGTATCAAACATGGCGGCGTGAATGCCACAAAATTCCCGCATCACCATTCCACCGTAGCTTGTGGCACACTGTGGCGGTAGTATTAAGCTTGGTTTATGCTTGACGCATTCACTTTCCGCGCGGTGATGTGGCTCGTGGATGGAACGCGCTTCACAACTAGCAGCGTTTATGGTTCGTGCGGCTCGTCTCTGCAGTGAGCCAATATTCTCCCAAACTGAACGGGGTAGCATGGAGCTCTATGGCATGCACCCAACACTACACCATAGTAGAAGTAGAAATGACTGTTTACAACATGGCATTTCAGCATTTTTAACAGCGTTCTCGTCTTTTCCGACAGTGCGAGCTATTTCTCTCCAAGAATTATTTACAACATGTTGATCACGGTGATCTCTGAGAGCTGAATCATACACGTGTCTGTATTTATGAACCTCTGCCATACTAGTTCTTGCCGGTCCGCCATGTTTTTCCGCATCCGTCCGTCCGCGTGGTTAGAAATTTTCCGAGGTGCGCGTTGCGGAAATTCTGGGCCGTGCGGAGGCGCGGTGGAGGGGCATGGTTGTTAAAATGACGCAACTTTTCCGCGCGGAGCCGTGCGGACCTCGCGGATGCGTCAAGCATAAACCAACCTTTATGCTGATTTGCCAGCATGGTGTGTCTTCTGAAATGGGCTCATGAATGTTAAGTGACAGCGTGACGTAGATCTGTCAGGCTTTTTAAATCCTAGAGTTTCACCGTCTATTTTCTACCAGAAGCTAAAGCAGGAGATAGGTGTAGGAGACTATTTTCATGTTCAGCCTGCATGGAAAACTCAGAGTGAGTGATTTATAATCAGAAATAATCAATATTAACTAATTCACTGCCAGTCGTTTCCTGATCGGTAAAGCCCTTCGCTGCCAGCGTTTCTCACCGTTTTTGCTGTTTATTTTAAGAGTCACAGAACGTTGCGCGCTAGGACGATGTCGACGCCAAAACAACCAAAACAAAGAGGAGACTCACCTCTTACATCAGGAAGAATCTGCGTGTTTCCAGCGTTATCCGTTCTTTCATAATCCGTTGTGGAATTGTGATCGGCAGGTGATTTTCTGGTTTGCGCCTCACTTTTTTTACAGGACCGGCCCAAAACGATCTCCCAACACATTGATTTTCTGCTTCCTGATCATGTGACATGTGACGTATGCAGATGAAGATTGGCTTCAGAGCTAAGATGTTTGTTCTCTCAAAGAGGGGCTCGTTCTGATGCCCAATCAGTAAAAAAAATGCAAATGACGACTTAAGTCGTCATTGGCAGTGAACAGTTGGATCTAAAATGACGACTTTAGTCGTCAATGGCAGTGAATGAGTTAAATGTTTTTCAGTGTTCCACACCTTTAAACTAGCCATTCGTGCCATTTTGGCTGAATTAAAAACAATTGTGTAAACAAGAGGGGGAACAGGTTACTTTGGGTTTTTCTTCATAAATTAAATCTTGATTTTAAATGACAGCATTTAAATGTACTCAGGATTTCTTTGTCTAATCCTGAAATTTGTTCACAGATTAGAAACAAGCAAGTGTGACAAAAGTTAAAAACAGAATACTGTAAATCTGTTTGGGGGAAACCCCTTTTGATAGTAAAATATTTTGCACAAATTAAGCTTTTCCCGACAACTATGAATAAGAACACCGATTTTTTTAATTTGTTTTTACAGGCACCACAGAGCAGACACTGATTGACATTCTGACCCAAAGAAGTAGTGCTCAGCGTCAGCAGATCGCAACGGCTTATGAGAAAACAACAAAAAGGGTACATGCTACAATCGAATCATGCTTTGGTCTTTGCAGGTGGCAGAAACAGTCCAAAATGACTTTGTGTTTCTTCGTTAGACACTTATTTCTGACCTGAAGGGTGACACTCATGGAGACTTTGAGGAGGTGTTAGTTGCTTTGGTAACACCTCCTGCAGCCTTTGACTGTCACGAAGTATTGAAAGCCACTAAGGTGAGAATTACCTATTTAAACACGCCATATATCTTGTATCTGAAATGGTTTCTATCCTGCAGCTCAACATTTTCTGTAAGACTTTTTGATTAATACTGTTCATTTGAAAATCGATAAACTCCCACAGATTTAATAATTATTAATGGAAACTTTATTGATCCTCTTGGGGAAATTGTTTCTCTGCATTTGACCAATCCCCTAGGAGCAGGGGCCAACTTTCAGAGTTTAGTATCTTGCCCGAGGACCACTGATAAATTTGCTTAACTAAATCCGAGACCATGCTCTTGAATCAAAAAACGGTAGAACACCTTCTCCAGATCAGGGACGAGGTCCTGCCTCAAGTGTTGGAGTTTAAGTATCTTGGGGGTCTTGTTAACAGGGAAAGATGGAGCGTGAGATTGACAGGCAGATTGGTGCTGCATCTGCAGTGAAGCCCGGTCATTGTACCGGTCTGTTATGGTGAAGAGGGAGCTGAGCCAGAAGGCAAAGTACTCGATTTACCAGTCGATCTACGTTCCTACCCTCATCTATGGTTACGAGTTTTGGGTAGTGACCGAAAGAACGAGATCGCAAATACAAGCGGCCAAAATGATTTTTCTCTGCAGGGTGTCTGGGCTCTCCCTCAGAGATTGGATGAGAAGCTCAGTCATCTGGGAGGGGCTCGGAATAGACCTGCTGCTCCAGAGGAGCCAGTTGAGATGGCTCGGGCATCTAGTTAATATTCCTCCTGGACGCCTCCCTGGAGAGGTTTTTCGGGCACGTCCAACTGGGAGGAGACCAAAGGAAGACCCAGGACACGCTAGAGGGACAATGTTTCTCGGTTGGTCAGAGAGCGCCTTGGGATTCCCCTGGAGGAGCTGTCCCAAGTGGCTGGGGAGAGGGAAGTCTGGGCTTCTGCTGCCCTCGCAACCCGGCCCTGGATAAGTGGACGATAATGAATGGATGGATGCATAGTGCTTTTCCAAGCCAGGAGTCCAAAGTGCTTTCCACTACAGTGAATCATTCATACATTCCAACACTGGTGATGAATTATAACATAGCCACAGCTGCCCTAGGGCACACAGGACCCTCCGGCCACCAACAGCAAGGAGGATGAAGTGTCTTGCCCAAAAGCAAAATTCCCTGTGGTTTGATCCTGAAACCTCAGATTACTGGACAACCTGCTCTACCTCCTGAGCTACTGCTGCCAAACATATATACATGTAGCCTGACAGGGCTTGTGAGCGAACCGCTCCCCTTCTGATCAGTGGACAACCGCCCTCCCCATTTAGCCAAGGCCTCATTATTTATTTGTTTCTAAAGGAAAGCTTGATTGCTGCTTTTTGAGAATGAAACATAAATTTGGCTGTTCAAACTTTCAGATAGTATTGATCATTTGTTAACGTAGAACTCCTCATACAGGGTGCAGGGACAAACGAACGTACTCTGACTGAAATCTTTGCTTCGAGATCCAACCAACAGATCAAGGCCATGTCTGAGGTTTTCCTGAAAGGTAACAAACACAAACTCCAAATAAAGTTACTATGAAACAGTTTACAGCAGGGAAATTCAGAACTACAGCTCATTGTAAAATGTAACGTTGTGTGTATTATTTTCAAGAGAGTGGCAAACCTCTGATTGATCTTCTGAAGTCTGAGGTTTCTGGAGATTACGGCAAAGCTCTGCTCATCTTGGCTGAGGTTCGTTAATCTGAAACAATGCTGTTAGGCAGCATTCCCAAGAACTAGAAACACACACTAGAGTAAATGTATTATTGGCGGCAAGCCATGAACATTCCAAAGTTATCATCCAAGTTCAGAGTCCAAACATGTTGATTTATTCAAACAGACGACGTCCTGCAAACTCTTTAGGAGTTACAGAACATCGATCTGATAAAACAGAACCGAGTTCCACCAAATCTGTGCGACCGTTTTAAATTAGTGTTCATCTAAATGTTGAACTCTAGAGATATTAAAGAAAACCACTTTGCTGATTAATCAGTGTGCATGACGGATGTTGTTTTTCTCGTCCACCCTCACAGGGAAAGAGAGATGAGAGCACCAATGTGGACGTTGCCAAAGCTAAGGCAGATGCTAAGGTGTGCCCCACTTACTTTGAAAAATTGGCCGTCGACTGCAACCTTAGAACTGATTCAAATCCCTTGGTTTCACTAACAATGGCCACCAGCAGCTTGATTATTTTTATTTAACCCCCCATAGGCATTGTATGAAGCAGGAGAGAAGAAGTGGGGCACTGATGAGGCCAAGTTCATCGACATCCTCTGCCACAGGAGTTTTCCTCATCTTCGACAAGGTAAGTTGTACCTGTACTTTCTCCAGTAAAAGCCCTTATTATGAATAATTAAGCACAAATAGTAAAACATTAAGTATTTATAGGCATATGTGCAGCCTTAATAGGCCTTTAATAGTTCTACAGAGCTGTTGTCATTACATTTTCTAATTTTTAGGTTTTTGTTTGACTCACTGCTGATGTCTGCAAGTTATTTGGGACTTAGTTTAAATTTTATGATAAAATGTCAAAACAAGTCGGCTAAAAGAAATTATATGCAAAAATGATCATATCTGACAATACATAATTTTGACTCAATTCCCTGTTTATTGTTGGGCAGTGATTGTTGAGTACAAGAATATCAGCAAGAAGAGTCTGCAGGAGGCAATTGAGGGTGAGATGTCTGGAAACCTGGAGAAACTCTTAGTGGCCATAGGTAAAATATATTTGGCTCAGAATATTTCTGTTTTATCTTTATCTCCATTAACATTGAACGACTTTCCTTTCTAGTGAAGTGTGCGATCAATGTTCCCGTTTACTTTGCTGAGAGGCTTTTCAAGAGCATGAAGGTAAAGGACCATTTTAGACATGTAACATAGGACTTGTTTCATTTGAGCACGGGGTTATTGTGTTTATTTTGAAAATTACCTAAATTAAAATTGAGGAATCTAATTTGTTCAGGACTGAAAACCAAATTTTAGGGTTTGAGTGAGGAACACATAACAAAATCCACGTATTGTTGGCTTAGATCACGTCACACACCACCAGACTGTCGTGTCAGCAGGTGTGTGGAAAGGAATGTCAAACCAGGTTTGATTGTAGGTTTGGCTTATGGGACATCAGTGAAAGCAGATAAGAGTAAATAGAGGAAATTTGCATTGTACTATATATCAGCACTATATTATTCTCCTGCATTGCTCATCATCCAGGGTGTAGGAACCACAGAGTCCATCCTGACCAGGATACTGGTCAGCCGCTGTGAGGTTGATCTATTGGACATCAGAGCTGAATACAAGAAGCTGTACGGTGTCTCTCTCTACTCCCAGCTGGAGGTTGGTACACATTACAAACATTACAGGTTTTGTTGTGAACATGGGTCTGATTTCATGCTTCTCCGTTTAAACGCAGTCTGAAGTATCAGGTGATTATGGTAAAACCCTGAAGCAGCTGTGTGGCCAGGATGGCTGAAGCCTGAAAACAAGTGCTGTGAAGGAACGAGTGGAGTAGAAGGGAAGACCTAGTCGGCTCCAGATGCATTATGGCTGATTTTAAGTGAATGTTGTACTTTAGAATTTACTGTCCATTTACTTAAGACACTTTGTATGCATACTGCATGTAGGCACTGTTGTCAGTGATGTATTAACTCCATTTTTACTTGTTCTAGGTCACAATAGCACAATAGAAAATAGTTTCATTTAACAGAAATACAAGTATACTTTTGATCAGAGTGAAAACCAAACATTTATACAAAAAGATTGTTTATTTAACCGTTTTGTTTATATTGCTATAGCCCACTCCGACACAAGTCATCAGAACTTTCTCTCCACCCTTTCGCTCGTCTTCTGATGGCTTCTGGACCTTAATCTTGAACATGACCTGGAAGAAATCTCTGATGTGTCTCAGGAACTCGATTCTGTAGAGGGACAGAGGTGGTTTCATTTAAAAAATGGCTTCATTAAACGGTCAGTAAATAAAGCACAGAGCTGGGCCAGTGGAGGTTAAAGTCAGCTTTCTTTACTCTGGTGCCCATTATTCATGTTAAAAAACAACTTTTGTGCACGTCTGAGATTTCCACATTACCTGAGATGAGTGTTTTGTGATGGCACTGCCAATCTTCAGTTATCATAGTACTGTACTTGACAGGGACACAGCACCGGTACCATGATAGCTGAAAATGGACAGCTCGTTCCTTTTAACAAACACTAATAAAAGTTCATCCACATTTCTTTACAGTGCAGTTCTCCTTTAAATATAATCATTTACTAAAACACACATCAATGAAAACGCAAACGAGTGTCCAGCTGGCTGTTTCCTCCTAGCCGTTAATGTAAGGACTAATAAATAAAAACATGTGGAACAGAGGGAGTGAGTGTGTTTGTGTGTGCCGACCTGTTAAGACCGATGTGCGTATAGGGTGACGTTCGCTTACGTGTATGGTGAGAGTGGTCCGAGCAGAAACTTTGACACGTCCTGTTGGCCAAGGGTCATCAACAGCAGCGCCAGGCTCTGATTGGATGAGTCCACACAGCCACCCTACAACAGCCACAGGAGAAAAAATGTTTTTCAGCTACAGCAAAGTGCGTCACGGAGAGGGAGAAGTTTAGAAAGAAATGAACCCCTGGACAGGGCTTGACACTCTCAGCTCCAGGACTGATAGCACCTGGTCCAGATCTAGATTAAAGACAAACACACACATAAAGCTATGCCTTCATAAACGTTAAAAAATAAAGATGCCACTAAATGCAAACATGGCTTTATTTTTTCCTCCAAATTTACAGATGTTTTCTAATGCTCCTAATTTTTTGCACTCCAGACATTTACGGAGAGGATCGGCTTTGAATACATTCCACTGTGATGACTTCAGATCTATGAACATTCCTAATGCATGTAAGCAACTGGACACACCCAAGTGTATTATATAAAAGCTCATCCAACCAAAACCCAGCAGAAGGTTTTAGTGACGGCGTCTGCAGCTCGGTGATGCTGACCCGAAGCATCAAGATGGCTGTCAGCATAATTCTGATTTAATTAGGTCCACACGACACCGAAAATATTCACAACACTGTTTATATTGTTCAAAAGAGCATTCCTATAGAAATGATGAGAATTTCCAGCTAATTATTTCTTTTATCAAACTTTCACAACAAAAACACACTAAAGTTTTAACATTTAGCAAATCGTGTCACTTATAATTCACAATTGTTTTCTGTCTAACGTTTAAATCGTCTAAAGGAAAAAAAACATTGATGCCTCAATTACGAACTAAATAAATGTGTAATGACTAAATAAGCTTACCTTTTTCACTTAAAGGAGAGAAGTCAGAGCTACCTAACCCTGAGCTGCTCGTCCCTGGTTTATGGTTGTAAGACATACAAGCACAATAGTTTAATAACTGCTACTCTCACATCCTGCTTTTCAGAGATTATTAAAATGTTCCAAGAGACCGAAAGTCAGAAAAACCACAAGAACTTGTGGAAAAGTCCATGAAATTCTCAGAGTGAAAGTAAAACCCTTTTCCAAAAGCCACAGAAGAATTTTAGCAAAGTAAACATCAACATGACAAAAATAAAAACACAACCTGCTTTTAAAAATGTTAGATCCACTTAAAACACCAGTTTAAGGCTTGTATTAGTTTCAAAGAGCACTGAATATAAAATCCCTGCCTGTAAAATCATATTACTACACAGACATCTGTAAAGTGCTCCACTTACATCGGATCCTGCTGTGTTGACGCCACTGTTGTCTAGAGGTCATTACTAGCGGATGGTACTGATTAACCACAAAACAAACACATAACACCCCCTCGCTCTTTCTGAAAATGAAAAATCTAACTTTTTGACATCTTCCATTCAAGAGTTCTTCCTTCTCCTGCAGCAGCTATATCTGCTGATGATTCAAATACCAGGTCGTCAGGCTTGTCTGACTCCTGCTCAGACAAAACAGACAAAACAGAGAGAATTCTGAACTTACCAGCCGTATGACAGCGAGTGAATGGTGAGCTCAGCACTCCTCTGCCTGGAGTTAAGGGGACGCATCAACAATATTCCTCTTTCAGAGTTAATCAGCGCTACCCTGACTAGCTAACTGGACTCACATGGCTCCGATGAGAGACGGCTGAGTCCAGCAGCCACGTGGAAGACACAGAACTTCATTGTGCATGTCCTGTTCAGGTTACCTGTGTGATCATGTCAGGTGATCTGTCTCTGTGTGCGGTAACAACCAGGTTAGTCTGTTTGTGGTTAACACAGCCACGGGCGCAACGACAGATTGCTTTGAGGGATTTTTGGGGGCTAAAATCATCTCGTCATCAAATCTTTATTTATCAAGCCTGGTTGGATAAATGCTGACTCAGCCAAAGGGCCGTTGGATCCCAGATATGAAGGCGGTTTTAAAGTATGGAGACAAGTCATGAATATTTCATTTCTACTGTGAGATAAACCTAAAAAAGCAGCAACTTTGTCTTAATTTCAACAGAAATATAACTTGTTAAGTTGCACAACAACCGACTGTAATCTCTTAATATTAGTAGCTATTTTTTTTCGATAAAGAGGGAGGTCACACTGCCCTGATCTCACACACCTGACTCAAAGCAAGTTGAACAAAAACCTGTTAATGACTCATTTAAATCAGGTGTGAGGGAGCAGGAAAACTTCTAGCTTCCCACCCTGTAACAAACATTCAAAACAAACATAAAATAGCATAGGGCTGCACCATATAGTACAAAAATGTCTTCATTTCGATATCAGTATGTGCAATATTAACATTGCATAAAACTAACTCAATCGCAAAAAATAACACCCAAGAACAGGGCCGTTTCCACGCCCAGAACATCTGGGTAATTTACCGGACCTTCACGGCACTCACATGTCTGATTTCACCAGGCCAGCCCGAAAGGACCGTTTTCTGGGGCATTTCAGGAACCGGGGTATGTACTCAAAAAGGTCTGGTAGAGTCAATGGGCGGGTCCAACTCATGCTGATTGGTTGTAACTCGGCAGGAAATGATATCGGCAGACTTCACCAAACAACCAGCATTCGTGAAAATCAGAAGAGCTGCTCTTCTGCCGGTACCAGTCAGAGACAGCTGACGGGTACCGGCAGTCCAAGCGGAACGCGGCTCGGGTGGTCGCAAAGGCAAAAACCCGGGCATGGGAGGAGTTTGGTGAGACCGTGGAGCAAGACATCCGTACGGCTTCGAGGAGATTCTGGTCCACCATCCAGCGCCTCAGGGGGGGAAAGCAGTGCACTACCAACACTATCTGTAGTGAGGACGGTGTGCTGCTGACCTCTACTCAGGACGTTGTGGATCGGTGGGCAGAATACTTCGAAGACCTCCTCAATCCCACTGGCACATCTTCTAGTGACAAAGCAGAGTCTGGGGACTTTGAGTTGGCCTCTCAAATCTCTGGTGCTGAAGTCACTGAGGTGGTTAAATAGCTCCTCTGTGGCAAGGCTCCAGGGGTGGATGAGATCCGCCCGGAGTTCCTTAAGGCTCTGGATGTTGTGGGGCTGTGTTGGCTGACACGGCTCTGCAATGTCTCGTGGAAATCGGGGGCAGTCCCACTGGACTGGTAGACCGGGTTTGTGGTCCCCTTATTTAAAAAGGGGGACCACAGGGTGTGCTCCAACTACAGGGGATCACAATCCTGAGCCTTCCTGGTAAGGTCTATTCAGGGGTTCTGGAGAGGAGGGTCCGTCGGATTGTTGAACCTCAGATTCAGGAGGAGCAATGTGATTTTAGTCCTGGCTGTGGTACACTGGACCAGCTCTATACCCTTAGGGGGATCCTGGAGGGTGCATGGGAATCTGCCCAACAAGTGTACATGTGTTTTGTGGATTTGGAGAAGGCGTTTGACCGCGTCCCTCGGAGGGCCCTGTGGGGGATACTCCGGGAGTATGGGGTACCAGGCCCTCTGATATGGGCTGTTAGGTCCCTGTATGACCGGTGTCAGAGCTTGGTCCGCATTGCCGGCAGTAAGTCGGGCTCGTTCCCAGTGAGAGTTGGACTCCGCCAAGGCTGCCCTTTGTCACCGATTCTGTTCATAACTTTATGGACAGGATTTCTAGGTGCAGCCAAGGTGTGGAGGGGATCCGTTTTGGTGGCCTGAGGATCAGGTCTCTGCTTTTGGCAGATGATGTGGTCCTGTTGGCTTCATCAGAACGTGATCTTCAGCTTTCGCTGGAGCGGTTCGCAGCTGAGTGTGAAGCAGTTGGGATGAGAATCAGCTCCTCTAAATCTGAGACCATGGGTCTTGATTCGGAAAAGTGTAGAATGCCTTCTCCAGGTCAGGGATGAGGTCCTGCCCCAAGTGGAGGAGTTTAAGTATCTCGGGGTCTTGTTCACGAGTGAGGGAAAACTGGAGCGTGAGATCGATAGGCGGATTGGTGCTGCATCTGCAGTGATGCGGGCGTTTAACCGGTCTGTCGTGGTGAAGAGAGAGCTGAGTCAGAAGGCAAAGCTCTCGATTTACCGGTCGATCTACGTTCCTACCCTCACCTATGGTCATGAGCTTTGGGTAGTGACCGAAAGAATGAGATCGTGGATACAAGCGGCTGAAATGAGTTTTCTCCGAAGAGTGGCTGGGCTCTCCCTTAGAGATAGGGTGAGAAGCTCGGTCATTTGGGAGAGGCTCGGAGTAGACCCGCTGCTCCTTCAAAATCGAGAAGAGCCAGTTGAGGTGGCTCGGGCATTAGAGCCGTTTAAAATAATCTGACTGTTATCATAGGAGAGAATACCTCAAACTTTCCAAATAATAATTTTTCATATATGGTTGTTCAGAGTTGTTAAATATTTTGTTAGCATCTACAGAACTTGTTTTTCCGACAGCCTGAGACATGAATGTTTAATGAGGAAAGAGATTTTTTTTTTGCTGTGAAATCCTCTTAAATGCAAACTAATGCTTCAAATGTTTTGTACTTTTACACTGTCCCAAGGACTGTTATCAGAAAGCTGTTTACTGCATATTTATGCAAATAAAAGTTTTTGTTGAATAAAAAAGCAAATGTCTAACATATATTTATTGATGACAGCAAATCCATATGAAATAATTGTGATGTATCGAGATATTAAATCGAATTGAATCGCTGACACAATAATCGTAATCGAATCGAATCGTGAGACTAGTGATGATTCACACCTCTATCGGGCATCTAGTTAGGATGCCTCCTGGACGCCTCCCTGGTGAGGTTTTCCAGGCACGTCCAACCAGGAGACCTAAAGGTAGACCCAGGACACGTTGGAGGGACTATATCTCTCACCTGGCCAGGGAACACCTTGGGATTCCCCCGGAGGAGCTGGCCCAAGTGGCTGGGGAGAGGGAAGTCTGGGCCTCTCGCCTTAGGCTACTGCCCCCGCGACCCGACTCCGCATAAGCCGATGAAAATGGATGGATGGAGAAGAGTTGCTCATGAAGGGAAAAGGCAGCATTGATGCAGCTTTAAAAATCACTGTTTTTAAAATCCCAACATTAAAAACGTGGTAGAAATCCCCCCAAAATGTCATTATTTACACCGCTTTCTGGTCTCCTACATTGTAAAAAAACACTGTTTTCACCTCACACAGCCGCTCTCCCGCCCCCTGAATAGATTCAATTGCAGCATATGTTGACAAAATAAAATTTATGTTATTAATGTCCTTGGATGCCTTTTGGTGCAGATGAGTGATGTCACTCGCTGCTGAAAGGATTATGATATGCTGGCGTCTTATCAAAGTCCAAAAAGGGACGTGTTTGTTAAGCGGCATTGGCTGAGTGGTCCGAGCCATTGTATTGTCCCTGTCACCTTCTCCCCTCCCAGAAACTTCCCAGAACTCCTGTAGTGGGAACATGGCTCACGTTATATTCTATATGAAATGAATTTGAATGTTGATCTGATGGACTTTGAAGCTCACACCTGGTTTAGACAACTGTTAACATGCTTATCTAAACCCGAGACAGAAATAATTGAACTGTATTGTGGAACAGAAACTCTACGACACTTATGAAGTGAAATGGGAAAACCGAGAAGTGATCTGGTTTTCTTATATGGATGAAAAATTATATGATTTAAAGTAGCTGGGGAGAGCTTGCCCACAAGCAGTTCTGAGTTGATCTGCAGACACGGGTCATTACTGGGGAATTTGAGTAAACAAGGCCAGCAAATGTTGTTATGTGTGCTGTGGTCATGCACTTCAGGTATTCCTAAAGAATTCTGATTGTTCTTAGAGAGAGGGAGCTGACTGTGTGATTATTCAAAGTGCTCACCCGATACACCTCTTGCAAAAGCAGCTTAGCACAATTTCTGCCGAGGTCCTCTGGCAGAACGGAGTCCCCCTGGCCCTGTGGCGTGGAGGACATCTCGGCACTGAGGAAGCAGCCATCGAGCGTTTCTGCCACCAGCGTTAGACCAAAACCCGGAGACCTGCAGGTCAAAAAACAACTATTTAATTTCAACAGTTTATTTATATAGCGCCAAATCACAACAAGAGTCATCTCAAGGCACTTCACAAACATTACAATTGAACCTACTTATCAGTGCACTGGGTTCAATTCATTATGCCAGAGAGTCAAAAGTCTTCTTTGTGAGAAAACCCAACAGAATTCAATGAGTCACTGACTTGTGACGGTGTCTTTACAGCAACCCTCATACTAAGCACACACGTAGCGACAACGGAGCGGAAAACTTTCCTTTAACAGGAAGAAATCTCCAACAGAACCTGGCTCAGTACCATCACCTCCATCATAAAAAGACCCAGCAGAGGATGTACTTCCTGAGGCAGCTGAAAAAAAAGTCAACCTGCCAGCACAGTCGATGAGGCAGTTCTACGCCGCAGCCATCGAGTCCATCCTCACCTCCTCAATCACCGTGTGGTACACTGAAGCCATCCCCAGGGACAAGAAGAGGCTGCAGCGGGTTGTATGGTCTGCTGAGAAGGTCATTGGCTGCAAACTCCCCTCCATACATACACCTCCAGAACAGTGAGGCGTGCAGGTCGGAACACAGCTGACAACTTTGTCCTTCACTTCTCCACGCAGTCAAAACCTCTAAACTCATGTTTCGTGTAATTTCCTGACACAAATAAAAAGTTTGCTGTGTATCTTTGTACTCCTCCAGTCACGGGTGTGTTAGCGTTTATTTCATCAGACTTTTTCTGCAAGGTTTTCTTCAATGTGCTTTGTGTCCATCGCTACATATCCTTGGCCCGTTTAATGTTTTAGAGGGGAAGATTGTGTTGTTGACAAAGTTAACGGTAGTGATATCCTGTCAAATCACAAAATGGGCATATCTAAGTTGCTTTTGATGGTTAGAAAAGTGGGCTCTATGTCCGTCCCTGTGAGCCTGGTGGAGAGCCCTTGCAACAAGATAAAGGCGTTGTGTGTCTCTGCACTGATGCAGACAGAGTAGTATTGACTAGCCTTTAGTGTCTCATCGTGACTACGTGTTAAGTGTACAGAGAAAATTCTCAACCCTTGCAGCTTCAATGAACACAAACACTGACTTTCCAGAGTTGGCTCCTTTCATGTGGTCTGTGTAGATGTAGATGTCCGGGAGAAACTGGTTGAGGACACCTCTGGCTGACTCCACAATCCTGTTACCCATCTGAGGCGAAACGCGAACAGAATATCTGAGATTACGTCAAGAAGCTCTAGAGACTCAAACACCAGAGTTTATTATAACCAAACTAATCAACAATTAACTGTCAGAAATTTCTGATTAATGAAGCAAAGAACTTTTTTTGTTTCAATTTTTCATATAAGAATGTCTTTTTTGTTGGTTTGGAGAATTACTGACATTAAACAAGGAGTTGAAAATAATCCGAATCACCCAATTTTAAAAATGGCTTGAATGCAAAAATGTGAATCTAACATGATTACGGGCAAATGTCAGTTATTTAAGACAGGATGGTCAGCGTACATCAAAATGAATGTCCTAAAATAAAATATAATCCAAGCTGGAGTTATAGTTCCAGATACACACAGGTGTGTGTGTATATGTACATGTATCCTTATTAGCTGCTGTTTAAAGCGACGGTGGCACAGGAGTTAAGTGTTCGCCCCGTAATCGGAAGGTTGCAGGTTTGAGCCCCGGTCAGTCTGTCGCCGTCGTTGTGGTGTTGGGCAAGACACTTAACCCCCCTTGCCTGCTGGTGGAGGTCGGAGGTACCAGTGCTCGGCAGCCTCGCCTCTGTCAGTGCGCCCTAGGGCAGCTGCGGGTACATCGTAGCTCATCCCCACCAGCGTGTAAATGTGTGTGTGAATGGCTGATCATCTTGTAAAGCACCTTGGGGGGTTCCAGGACTCTAGAAGGCGCTATATCAAATACAGGCCATTTAAATATTACTATTTAATGTTTTTAAAAAAAAGAGACATTTTGTGTCTAAATCATTTTCTATTGTAAGGTATGATGAAAAAAATGTAGTGACACAATAAAGTATAATAAATGTCATCACACACTTGCATCATTATAAAGTAAATCAATGCATATAAAGCAATAAGAAATCATAAGGAACCAAAGCCTGAAAAGGATACGCTACTCCTCGGATCCTCTTGATCTTTCCTGGGTCGGTCAGCTGGACTGGTCTCATGGTTCTGCAAACCGGACACGTGAAAACAACTTCTCCACCACCACCTGGTGCCATCCCTCTTTTCACCACCTGAGGGAACAAAAGCAGGGAAAGACTAAAGCCTGGTTTATGCTTCTCCGTCAGCTCCACAAGGGACAGACACGCACGGATTGATGGAAGCGTTTTGCTCTCATACTTCTCCGTCTCCCGGAGAAGTCCTCCTGAGGACGCCCTCTGTTGCCCGGCAGGACAACAGAGGGCGTAGCGCTGTTCTGTGGTATCATGTCATGTATCGGTCCAGGATCGTGTGTTTGTATTGTGTTTTTTGTGTATATAAGAGACTTTTAACACGGACATATTTGTCTCTCATTCTCCCACTGCTTCATGCACTCCCCACCTCTAAACCCACGTTTCCTGTCATTTCCGTCCACAAATAAAATGCCTGCTGCGCATCTTTTCACTCCTCCAGTCACGGGAGGATGAAATGTTCATATTTTTAGTGTTTTTTCGCGAGGTATTCTTCAAGCTTCTCCGTGTCTGCCGCTAGTTATCCTCGTCTCTCTTTGCAATGGCGGTGCTGTAAACAACAGCGGCGTCCTGACCAATCACAAGCTTGCGTAATCCGTCTCATTCGACTGATGTTTAAAAAAGTGGGCTCAACTCCGTACGTACTTGCGTGCCTGCCGGATCCCTACGCAAGGACGGATAATGGCGTTGCGTGTCTCCGCACTGACGCAGACGGAGAAGCATAAATCAGGCTTAAAGTGTGATGTGTTCATGTGTCAGCACCACAATTAGAATATTTTACATCTTTATGTCACATTTGTGGAAAGATTCCTTGAGTGTCTTCACCTTTAAATCAAAACCTTCTCCATCAATCCCAAACCTTTTCATCAGAGGCAGAGCTGTGGACTTCAACAGGTCAACCTGCAACACAAGAGCAAAATGCAGCTAAGCATGTGTTCTCTAACCAGCGGTGTCTACATGGATTTGAGAAGTGTCCTCTGACCCAGACTCTGAGTGTGGTTTTACTGATGAGCTCACCGTCGGATCTGTGGGGTCATTAGTAACTCCTCTGAGAGTTGCCTTCAAAGGCGTCTTCATAAAAGGGGCTAGCATGAGCAGCGCCTCCAGGTAATACCCGATCGAACGCTGTAGGTTACAGTCGTGTTCTACAGAGCCTCCATACAGCAGACCAGGCTGGTAGAACAACATGGTACCTGGTAAAGACACGTGAAGTTATCAAGCACGATGCAAATAAAGAAAACCACTGTTCAATGAGAGGAGAGTCTGAATTAATGCAGTTGTGGACGAGTCAAAGACGACACAGGACTAAGTTTAACCCACAAGCTTTATTCGCTCCAAACTGATCACAAAATTAAAATCAGTACACTTATACTGTTAGCTGATTACATCATCAACCCACATAGCATCCTGCTTCTCTGGGTGTGAGTAGAGCCTCCTAGTATCCCGCCACACACGCCCCCATTGAACACCCAGAAAGTCCTGTAGGGGTCTTGATCAGGTGACCTGGGTTAGTTGCTGAAGCTGGGTGATTGCAAACCTATCTAGGCAGCGTCACGCTTCGGCACCAAAACACTGGTGGTAAAAACAAAAAGCAGCTCCTTGGCAATCTTTAGCTACAATGCTGGCCACCGAGGGAAGTTGGACAGACCTGTGTGAAGAATCGAGCATTGTCTCCACGCATGGCGGGACCACATCCTAGGTTGTCAAGGTCCTCGTGGTCTGGAAGATGAGGTCAGCTTCTTCGGCCAGTGCGAGTTAATCCCTTTGTTGCAGCAGGTGGGGAATTAGCAAGCGCCGTGTGCACCTGAAGCGGGAGCTCACAAAGGAAGAGGTGGACAAAGAGGAATTCTCCATTGTCAGAACCAAGGAGGTAAAGCATGAGATCCAGGGCGGTGCTGTCACCCAAACCGGTGAGAGAAAGAAGTTTCTCCGTTCATTCTGCCTCCTGAAAGTGTGTAGCGCCTTAGCAACAGCTGCTTGAGGGTGACATAATTCCCCTGGGCTGGAAGGTTCTGAAGCAGACTCATGACTCGACGCGTGGACCGATCCAGTGCAGCAACAACACCGTTGTTGTCGTCTGACAATCCACGCAGAGCAAACTGTGCTTCAATGTGGGAAAATCATGACGCAGGATCATGTAGCCAAAAGTCCGGGAGCTTAACAGCAACTGCAGACAAGAGCGCCAGAACCGGTGTAGCTTCAGCAGCAGTGGGCGGGGCTGGAACTGGGTGGGTCGTGTCGTCAGTCATTGTCATGATCGTCCACATTGAGGTCACCAATGGAAGAGTCAAGGATGACAGAGGTAAGTTTCTCCCACACGATTTACTCACTCCAACTGATCCCAGAACAAAGCATCAGATCAATTATACAGTTAGCTGATTACATCATCAACCACGTAGCGCCTCCTAGTGACCGCCCCACAGTCATCCTTTAACAAATGTATCTAATACTACAACAGAACTGTGCATCTGAAAAAAACTACAGTTATTTGAATCTGCCTGCTTTGATCAAACAATGATTTCTGTTCCTATAAACTTCAATAATACTCATCTTTATTAATTAAATGAAAATGTTGCTCGAGTATACAGGTCACAAACTAATGTATGAGAAGATTCTGGGCCCTTTTGACTGATGACCATGGGGAGTCATTTGTATCCAACAAACAATAACTGTGTTTGTTATTTTTACCATTGTCTAAGTTTTTGTTTTATTTAAACCAAGCTAAACCAACCTACTGACTGATGGTCATTTTTGAGAGTGTATTAGGAACAGAGTTAGTGTGTGACTGGTCTACCTCTCCTCAAAGAACCAGAAAATTTGATCCGCTAGCTGGAAGTGATTTAGACAAGAAATGAGCTTTCTACTTTCCTTAAACAATAACAAATACAATGAATGCAGTATTAAAAAAGGTGTATCCAGATCTAAGAGTGTTTTAAAACAGAATACCGGTAATAGAAAACGGCAGATCTGAAGGTTGTGTTTCATTCATGTTTTATTTTAACAGCAAACAATTAAGTACAGCTGTAAAGATAGAACAAGAAATACGTATCCCGATTAATTTTACTCAAATATAAATTATCTAGTTGTAAATCAAATGAAAAAAATAAACTATTTATAAAACCCAATTCCAAATCTAAATGTATTTATTCATAGAACCCAAATAAACAAGACAAATAAATACTGTACCAACCAATTTGTACACACCTAAAAATAATAATAGTAATTCAAAGTGTTTCTCGGATTTTATCTCTGTAAACCAACAGCCTGAATGTTTTAGATGTTTCCCTGGATTAAACCTGAGTCTAGTAACCAGTTTTAGATGGAGTCTAATTAACCACATATGAAATGTAGGTAAAATATAAAATAGTATTGACGATTTTTGTGAATGATATTGACAAGAAATATTTGCAATTATCTAAAATATGTTTTTGTCACTCACCTGTTTGATTTATCTCTATTCTGGAACCATTGGTCACTTTGTCGAGTAGTCTGACAAAGCTGGCCTCGAAATCTGGACAAAACAAATCAAACAAAAAGTAAAACTAGTCAACAAAAACACTTTATCCCTAAGTAACTCAGAAAACTTATTTTATTAAACACGCAGCTCAAACTCGAGGTGAATTTTCAATCTTTAAAGATTCAAGTTACTATAAACAAAACAAACTCAATTAAGAGGTGGTCAAACATATTTGCGCAGTTTCTAAGCTTGACAACGACATAAACTGTTACAACAATGTGACAAAATGTTTATCTCGTATTTGCCCTCGCATTTTCACCCATACATGGCAATTTTCCTACATCTAACTCCCAGCTTCTAAACACACTCCCAACTGCGTAACAGCTAGCCCGTTAGCAATCTAGCTAACTGCGACGCCACATGCGGAGCGAAGCTGCGACTCACCGCGAAGCCCCGGGTTGTCGTCCTTAGACCGGATGTTTTTTATTTTCACATGCTTCCCGCTGAGAGTCGATAAAACCAGCCGCTGTCTGAAAAAATTACAGCCGTCATAAGAGAGTCCGTTGCTTGCCATGTTGTTGTTTATGCCTCGCGCAACATCCACGTGTGGCAGAAAGGCGTTGGAGGGAGGCGCGAATACAGCAAACGGCGAGGGTCAAAAATGTCTTCTTGTTGTTACCGGTTGTTACCTACCCAGTGTAGAAAAAGAGGTTACCTCACCAACCAGTTATCACGAAAGACATAAAACCCCGAATATAACAAAGGAAAATGTATTTGTACGATATTAAGGAGTAATTCAATAACACAAACATACATAGCATGTATTTGTTTATAAAGAGTAATTTATTGAGAGGTGCTGGCCCGCAAACTTTAAAAGAAGCCTCTTAAATTCTTGGGAATTTATATTAGGCTATTTCTCTGCTGACGGCCAACCCATCATGTGTCCAAAGTCTCAGAAAAATTGGCATTGTTAGAGTTTATGTAATTTTATAAACGATTCAAAGAAATCGAATGATGACAATGTTGGGGGGTGGGTGGGGGGGGGGGGTGTCACAGAAGTCTACAATAATTTATTTTTTGTTGAACAACATCTGTAAGTACAGATAAAATGCATTATTAGGCCTGCAGCTTATTGTCCTCTTGAAATGAAGTGTTACGTCTTTCCTCTGGAGAGGTCAAACCGACTTACTATTACTGCATTACATGTTACCCAATGGAAGAGAAAAACAGGGACTTGGGAAAAATCTAAATCTCTAAGGGGTAAGAACATTAAAATCGTTTTCATATTTTGCAAGATAATCAGAAATTATACTGTGATTAAAACTTTTCACAAGTGAGTAAAATACTCTAATTGTGACATATAAATGGCTACTAGGTTTTTAAAATGTCTATAATATTAATTTATTAATAATAATTTTTAATAATATTAAAATTTTGGGTGAATGTTTTATTATCGTGACTATAATGCAAACAATGTACTTTCCTAAATTAAACCTATCTAGGCGCTAGATGGCAGCACCCTCAAGCCAGACCATAAATTAAACTTCTGTGGTCGGGGCCTTCTTCTCTCCTTTTCTTAAAGGATCAGTAAAAACCTAAACAAATATCTAACATTTCTCCAGCACACGATCACAGGATAACTAAACTAGTCTGTGTTTTTTTTTAATCTGCAACATTAAGTCACATTTTATGATGTTTTCTAGTCTTCTAGTGTTTTCTAGAAGGCAGTGCAGGTTGAACAAATATAAGTGGTTCATAACATCAGCTACGCAGAGGCTCTAAAAGGCACAGAATGGAAAGAATGAGGCTAGAAAAGTTCATACAGAGTCGCCATCAGATTTTGTGCAGACACAAGAAACTCACACAGGATTGACAGTGGAGAAGATGATTTTGTTTATGGCGTATGTCATAAACTGTACTGCTCAAGTGAAACACAGAACAGAGAAGAAAAAAATAATTGTGAAAGGAGCAGAGAGATTTTTTGGCATTAAAGACATTTTCATGGGAACAATAAAATACTTGGGGAGGAAGGGAAAGCGGGAGGTCCTGGTGACAGGACAGCATGATTATATTACAATGGAATGCCAGAAGTTTGATTGCAAATGGACAGGAATTTAAGGGATTTATCAATAAATGCAAAATAAAACCAGAAATAATATGCATTCAGGAGACATGGCTAAAACCTAATTTAGATTTTGTTGTTAAAGGTATGATGGTATCTGTAATCAATTTCCCTCTGGGATTAATAAAGTATTTTTGAATTGAATTGAATTGAATTGTAGAAGGGAAGGTAATGGAGGAGGATGTGTAACATTTGTGAAACAAGGAACTCAGTATAGAACCGTAAATATAGGATCACAGTTAGAATACATAGTAATTGAAATCTGGTCAAGGAATTGTTGTGTTAAAGTAATAAATTTTTATAATCCAGGCAACAAAATATTAAATATAGATGAACTAGATACACATTTAGAGGGAAAAGTAATTTGGTGTGGGGACTTCAATGTGCACAGTTCCTTATGGGGCAATAGCATTGATAGGAATGGGGCAGTTATTGAGGAACTGATGGAAACAAAAATTATGTATGTTTGAATGATGGAAGTGGTACACGATTAAATATTAGAGAATCAGCAATTGACCTCACATTAGAGTCGGATTCATTAGCAGGTTTTTGTTCATGGCAGGTAATTAAAGAAACAACTATTGGTAGTGACCATTATCCCATAATGACTGAACTTGAGATGACTATGGAACAATACGATACAGGGCATGTACAAAATTGGTGTTTTAGTAAGGCAGATTGGGAAAAATTTAAAATTGTTTGTGACCAGGAAATGGAAAAAATAGATATGAATGTTGATGTTGATGCATTAAATTTTTCTGTTTGTAATGCAGTTTTGAAGGCAGCAGACCAGGCAATAAAGAAGAAAGTAGGTAAGGGAAAAAAGAAGATAGTACCCTGGTGGACAAGGGATTGTGATGAAATTATTGGGGATTGAAATAAAGCTTTTAGAATTTTAAAGAGGAATCACTGTTTTGTTAATTATATGGAATATAAACAATTACAGGCTAAGGTAAGAACTGTTAAAAATGCAAAGACGGAGTATTGGAGGGGCTTTTGTAATTCAGTGGGGAGGGAGACAAAAATACAAAATGTTTGGTCAATGATTAAGAGAATGAACGGCATTAGAAAAGAGTATGGATATCCAATATTAAATGATGGTGAAGTAACAGCAGTAAAAGACGAAGAGAAGGCAAATTTGTTATCTAAGACATTTGTTAAAATTCATAGTTTAGATACTGTTAGTGAAGAAGGTCAAAGAGGCAGAGAAAATACGCTTCTGGAATATATAGAGTTATTGGAACAGGGTGAAGATAATGATACCTTGTTAAATATTTTATTTACAAAAACAGAATTAACCCTTTAATGCATAATGGTCACTACAGTGGACAGGTACTCAAAATTGTTATTTATTTATTTTTGCTATTAAGCACAGCTGTTGAAGACTTTATTTCATGTGAGCCCCTCCATTTGGGCTTCAGCAAGTCAAGCCAACATATTTCATGTTCAGAATGCACGCTGTCCACTGAGGTGGACGTGTAATAAATTATTTGTAAATTAACAAAATGTTACAAAAAATATTTGTTGAAATTTGTTTCATTCACACCTAAAGATGAATGAAAAAAAAATGTTTAAAAAATAATGGCTGAAGATTTCATAATTCATGCATCAAAGGGTTAAATCGAGTTTTACAAAAATCCAAGGTATCAGCTCCAGGTAAGGATCAGATTTGTTATATTATGAAAAACCATTTTAGTGATAAAGCTATAGGAATTTTATTAGAATTATATAATAGAGTTTGGGAGGGTGGGATAGTGCCACAAAGCTGGAAGGAAGCAGTGGTTGTACCCATAAGAAGACCAGGAAAAGATTATACCAATCCAGGAAACTATAGACCTATAGCTTTAACATCTCATATTTGTAAGATAATGGAGTGCATGATAAATGAAAGATTAATGTACTACATTGAAAGTAAAGGATACATATCTAAATGTCAAAGTGGTTTTAGAAGAGGAAGGAATACGATGGATCCTGTTTCATGTTTAGAACATGAAGTTAGGAGAGCTCAAATAAACAAAGAGAGTGTAGTTGTTGTATTTTTTGATATTGAAAAAGCTTATGATACGATGCGGAGAGACGGCCTTTTAATTAAAATCAGAAAAATGGGTATTAATGGACAAATGTTTTAATGGATCAAGAACTTTTTAATGGGAAGACAAATTCAAGTGAGGATTGGGAATATTTTGTCTGAAAAGTTTCCTGTGGAAAATGGTACACCACAAGGTAGTATAGTGAGCCCATTATTATTTTCTCTAATGATAAATGATGTTTTTAATGGTATAAAAGATGGGATGGGGTTTTCACTTTTTGCAGATGTTGGGGCAATATGGAAAAGAGGGAAAAATGTGGAGTTTATTGTAAAGAAACTTCAAGAAGCAATAGGCAAAGTGGAGGAATGGTCATACAAATGGGGTTTTAAATTCTCGGTAGATAAAACTAAGACGATGTTCTTTACAAGGAAAAAAGTAAGAGAGGATCTTAGACTTAAATTATATAGTCAAGAGTTAGAAAGGGTAAATAAATTTAAATTCTTAGGCGTTTGGTTTGATGAAAGGTTAACTTGGGGTGTTCATATTCAGAGTATAATGGATAAGAGTAAAAAGGTTCTGAATATAAAAATTCTAATTCAAATTTTATTTGTCACATACACATTCATACACAGTACGAAATGCAGTGAAATGCCTTACACAACTGCTCGTGACCTAAGAGTTGAAAAAAATGAGGTGTTTAGTTGGGTGTGAATAGGGTGCTGACAGGAAGTCTATGAAGGCCATATATAATGGATTGATCAGATCTGTATTAGATTATGGGTGTGTAGCATATAATTCAGCAACAAAAACTCCTCTTTTAAAATTAAATTCTATCCAGAATCAGGCACTGAGACTCTGTACAGGAGCATTTGAAACAACCCTATAGCTGCGTTACAGGTAGAGATGGGTGAGATGCCAATAGCAATCAGACGAGAACAAATAGCTTTAAATTATTGGGCAAATGGGGGGTCAGGGTCAGAAAGAAGATCATCCAACACATGACATACTAAAACCTTGCTGGGAGAAAGAAAAGAAGGAAACAACAAATTTTGGATGGATGATGATCCAAAAACTAGTAGAACTTAAATTAGATCAGTTTAAAATCAGTCAAAGAGTTCCATTACCTGCTTTTCCACCATGGATTCTTCCTGAGGCATCTGTCAGTGCGCCCCAGGGCAGCTATGGCTACATTGTAGCTCATCACCATCATTGTGTGAATGTGTGTGTGAATGGATGAATGATACACTGTAGTGTAAAGCGCTTTGGAGTCCTTACTCTGAGAGGCACTATACAAGTGCGGGTCATTTATCATTTATCATCTGTTGATTTAACATTACTGGAGAGAAAGAATAAGGATGGGTCATTCATACTAAACTCACATACAGCACAGGATTATATCGATCACTATTATAACTATGTAAAAATATATACAGATAAATCTAAGAATACTGCAGATCATATTGGAATAGCTTTTATTGTTCCTGAGTTTCATGTTAGAGTAAAAAAGAGGGTGAGTGATGGATTATCGGTATACACAGGTGAAATGCTCGCAATGCTGTTAGCTGATCAATGGGTGGAAGAAAACAGACCATTATTCTCAGTTATTTGTTCAGACTCCAGCTCATCATTGACCAGTTTGAAGTACAGCCATTCAGAAAGCAGACCAGACATACTAATAGAGATTCAGCTAACACTTTATAGAATAAGCATGATGGGACTTGTAATACATTTTTTATGGATTCCAGCTCATTGTGGAATCAGAGGAAATGAAGGATGGCTAAGGAAGCAACAATAAATGCATTGGTTCAGTTAGATATTCACTTTTGTCAAAAAGAGATCAAGAGCATAATAAGGCAAGAAATTAAGAAAAAATGGCAAAAACAATGGGAGGAGGAAAGGAGGGGAAGATGGTTGTATAAAATTCAAAGAGTAGGAGAAATGAGAAACACTGGAAGGAGTAGGAGAGAGGAGGTGATCATTTCTAGACTGAGGTTTGGACGTACTGGGTTAAACAATACATTATTCATAATAGGGAAACATAATACAGGGAAATGTGATTATTGTGGAGAAGATGAAACTATAGATCATGTTATATTACAATGTTAGAAATATCAGGTGGAAAGAAGGACAATGGTTCACAATCTTAGTCAGATGAAAGTGTAACTAGATCTTGTTGATTTATTGAGACAAAATTCAAAAAGTGACTGTTTTCAGATTTAATTTCGGTTTTTGAAAGAGATAAGTACGGAAGCGTATTACCAATACGCTTCCGTAGATAAGGATGTTTGGGAGACTGAAATTTTTTTTCCCCCTGTTTGGTTTTGTTTTGTGAGCGCTGTTCCAGACCACACTCCACACTAGTTGGTGGCGGTAATGCACCATTTGTTGTTTGCCAACCGCCATTAAAACACCAAAAGAAGAAGAAGAAGAACTAGATGATCGATTAGTTCGGTCTACCTGCCAGGCTGCAGGTCTTTCCAAAGGGATCGGAAGAGATTAATCAGCCAGTGCCAGTAAAAATTTTTCCGCCCACAGACCAATTATATAACTGCATTATACAATAAACTCTATCAAAGCCATGAGACTCTGCATTTCTCAACTCTTCAGGGAAAAGTGTCTTTCTGCTCAAAGTCGTCTGCAGGTCAGAGCTGCCGCCCCCCCCCCCCCCCCCCCCCCCCATCTGCCCCGCTGGCTCAGCGGCCGCATCTCATCTCCTTTCTCCTCCTCCGTCCCCTCCTTCTTCCTTGTTTCAGCAGAGCACAAGGAGACTGGCCCAAGACTCGCCCATTGTTGCGTAGTTCGAAAGAACGTGTCCTTCTACCAGCTGCATTTGTGCATCCAGAGGAGGCGAATCTGAATCCCACAATCTGTTCGTATAAGCTGAATTTAGAGCAACGCCAGAAGCTGGAAATGGTTTTGCAGAAAGTGATTCGTGCTGTCATCATGGGAGCTCCGGGATCGGGGAAAGGAACGGTGTCCGGGCGCATTATCAAAATATTTGGACTCAATCACATCTCCAGTGGGGACATTTTACGAGCCAACATCAAAGAAAAAACAGGTGAGTGATGCAGAGACAATGAGACAATGCATATGACGTAAGATGTGAAAACACAACTTTACAAATTAATGTATTAATTTTGAGTCTGTAAAAGTCATTCTAAACTAAATAAAACAAGATCGGGCGCCCTAATCTGTTTAGTGATCTGTTATCTGTTAAGTGCACCACTCCCCATAACTGCGTTTCTTATCTTTCTGTCACATGCAAGGAGAACAGCTTGAAAAACCGCCTTTTCACTAACCAATCATGTCTGCAGGCAGGGCTCAAATGAAGATGTCTTCTTGAAGTTTGTACTGCAAACATTACCTGAACTTTGAAATGTGCTTCAATATCACCTTGAGTGAAGATTAAAGAGTGCTGTAAAAAGTGCCTGGAACAACGCGAGTGACTGATTAAAAACATGCTATAGCAGCTGCATAACAACGGAACCGTTAGAAATAAAAAAGGAATCTGCTTATTGAATTTAAAATAAATCTGGAGTTTCAGCAAAGTGTGCGTTGTTTTTTAAAGTTTCCTCATCTGACTTAATCCTTGTGTAGGTGGCAGCTTTAGACAGCTCCACTAAGGCAAATTGCAATCAAAGCAGCACAAAAAATAACTGTCAATGCAATGAATATGCTTACTCTGCCTGAATCAGTGGATCTTATGGAAAATGCCTGCACTTGTGTAGCGCTTTAACAAATTCTAGGATTGTGCATAAATCTTCAGCAGGCTAAACACATGTGTGTATTTTATTAGATAATGTTAATTCCTGATTAAAGCTGTTTGACTTGAACTGCTGACCTTGCATCTCTTGACTCCTCACTTTCTCATCAATCCTACTGAGAGAAATCCACATTTGTATCTAGAGTTTGAAAGCTTCCCCAGGAGAAAATGTGTTATTTATGCACAAAGAAAGCTTTGCACAAGTGCATTTGATTTCGAAATAAGTGTATTTTGCAGGCTCAAAGAGACATAAAGTGGCTCCTTCAAGAGTTCCTGTTGTGCGGCAGTCAGTTTGACCTTCAGCACGGTTTCATGTTATATCAGCAACATTATAAAAGCAGACCCTTTCTGCAACAGCCGTCAGGAAACATGTTTGTTCAGCTGGATTTTGATCAGTTAAAGTAAAAGCGACTTAAGGCATGCTCATTTTTTCATCTTCTGATTTTATTTATTTTAACATTTTTGCAGCTTTCTGCAGTAAAACACATTAACACTCCATTATTGTGCTCTAACAATGTGAGTCTGGTAATTAATTTACTATAGTTTAACATTTCAGAACCTAAAATCCTGTGATTAGCACGCCTAAACAACATAACACCCTGGAAATGTTGGAAGCCATTCAGAAAGACGTTTTACAAACAATAATTTGCAAGAGTTGAGTTGAAGCAAAAACAAACATTGTCTGAATCAAGTTCTCGTTGCGTCAAATTTAGATTCCCTGCCTTGAAAAACATTTCTAATTTTGTCAAATTTGTAAACCTTTTTTTTTCTCAACTTGTACATTTTTGCCAGTTTTTTAGACTCAGCGCGCATTAGGACGTGCACCATGTTCATTCTTTGTTTTTAAACCTATGATACGCTCCAAAACGTCATCTGGTGACAATAATCTACTAATATTCAGCACGATCAGACTTCCAGATCGCTGCCAGAAAGAAGAAAAGAAAGAAATCCAATATTTTTCTGGGTCTGTGAACTCATCAGTGCTAAATGCTAGTTTGTGCTAACATAGTTTTCATGTGGAACTTCTAGAAATAAAATGTTCATTTCAATCAAAATATTGTGATGAATGCATTTTTTGCTTGCGATAAATCAGACACGGCTGAACTCAGAGGGTAGAAATGGGGATCAGCTCTTAAAACCAGAATCTGTTCATCTCTAAAAATACCTTGTTATCATTGGCTTGTGTTTTTAAGGCCAGCAGTACCTTTTCACAAGATGTTCTTCTCCCTCCTTTAGTTAATTATTCTTGTCACATGAACCGATGCTAAAGTCATAAAGTAGGTCGGTTGGACTTCCGTGTTGGACAGTTGGAAGAATTTCACACTTTGAAAAGCTCATTTTAGGAAACTATTTAGTTTATTTTTTTCTCACCCTTGTGCCCACTGACCTTAAGGTTTCACTCAATATAGATTTGTCTTCATTAGCTATTTTGTAGGGACATTGGACATTTTCTTACAATCTAACTCTCTTAAGAATGTTTAACTTCAGTGGTAGAAAAGTGCAGCGCATGGCCAGAGTCGGCCAAGTCTCCCTGAAGTAAATTATAGCCTTTCTGGTGGTTTGTTAAGTCCTCCAGACTGTTTTTATGGGGCTTTCAGTGCTGTATTGTTGTCCATCCTAGCTTTTTGAATTATTTTAGAAATCCTTAAAGGTGTGAAAAAAAAAAACATTTTTAATTTCAGATTGTAATTGGGAGTTTTTCATGCAGGCTGAACATGAAAATGGTCTCCTACATCTGTCTCATGCATTAGCTTCTAATAGAAAATTTTCGATGAAAATCTAGGATTTGAAAATCTACACAGATCTATGTCACACTGTCATTTAACATTCATGGACTCACCCATCTTGACTCAGGTAAGGCTGTTGTTGGTTTAGCGTCCAGGGAACAGCAGAGAACGTCTCGACTAGTCGAAGCTAACTGTTAGCATTGCCAACTCCACCACACAGCAGAAGCTCCTCCAGGCTTGTGTTATTTGTGGAGATATCATCCACGTTGCAAGTCAGTGGTAGAGTCTTGTTGCTGTTATGCAGTCCGAGGTGAGATGTCCAAACACCGGACAATATAAGACTCAAAAACCTGCCGTCTGAAGCTCAGCTGTGATGTGGGTCATTGCTAGAGCCTAGAAATGGTGCAATGGTATATTTTTTCCCCCCTGAGAACGACTTACAAGGCGTTCATTCAAATGCATTGATTAAATGAGTGAAGCACACCTTTAAATATCGAGGCAGCTGACACTTTCAAATGTTTCATCATGAAAATAATCGTCACTTTAGAGAGCTTTACGATACTTTCCCAAGATTAAGAAGGTTTATTTTTTCTGCGTGTCTGTGTTTGTGTCAGAGCTCGGCCTGCTGATGAAGTCCTGTATTGATCAGGGTCAGCTGGTCCCGGATGCCATCATGTCTCGTCTCATCCTGAACGACCTGAGAAGGATAGACTCCAGCGGCTGGCTGCTGGATGGTAGGAGCTGTCTGGTTTGTGTCAGCTGTTAGAAAACCTTTGCTAGAGGTGGATGTAATCAGTCCGTTACGTCAACATGTGTGAAACCATCTTTAGACTCTCGACTCTTTGTCATCACTTTGGTTGATTAAATCCCAGCATTTCTCTTTGTGTCTTTGCCCCCTCAGGATTCCCCCGTACGATATCACAGGCAGAAGCTCTTGATCACGTCTACACTGTAGATACCGTCATCAACCTTGACGTGCCATTCCAGACCATCAAAGAGAGACTCACATCTCGTTGGACTCACATTCCCAGCGGAAGGGTGTACAACACAGATTTCAACCCGCCTAAAGTTCCCGTAAATACTCGTGTTAATTTCTCATAAACTGTGGACGTTTTAGATTTTTCAAGAACACATTTTTCTAAAGTAGGAATAAAACTGAATTTGTACTTTGAGGTTGGAGGGTGCAGAAAGGATCTTCAGTTGCTGACTGATCCATAACGAACTGAAGGGGAAAACACCTGTGAATCACTCCAGTGGGTTGCCATGGGAACTTATCTGACCTTGGTAAAAGTTCTGCCATTAGCACTGATAGGAAGAAAAACAACATACTTTGGCTTTTTACAGCATCATTTGTTGCTGCACATTTCTGGACAGTTTTTGTAAGAAATGCAAAGATCTCATAACAGATTTTGCAGTTTAGCTTAGTTTCTACTAAGCTTGATTTGAAGGCTGTCAGTGTCAGTTTTGGCAAGAATAAATGACTTTATATTCTTAAAGCTGGTTCTCTCAATTAATAAATACATTTGCAGAGGTATGTAGTAGGAATTAATGCCTTGTAAGTCGTACTCTGGGGAAATAAAGCCCTGGTGCGCCTGTTTCAGGAACTAGAAGTGAGCCACATCAGGGCTGAGCTTCAGACGGCAGGGTTTGGAGTCTTATTTCCAGATATTATGACATCTCGCCTTGGATTGGATCACAGCAATGCAACTTTACCATTGTCTCCATTTACTTTGCAATGTTGATGTTTTATCTCCACAAATAAAAGTCTGCTGTGTTGTGGAGTTGCTAATGCTAATGGTAAGCTGCCATTTGCTCAATGCTAAACCAACAACAGCCTTCCCTGTCGCAAGTCAAGATGGGTGAGTCCATAGTCTCTTTTAGAAAACAATGCTGCAACGCTGAGCCGGCATCAAGGAGCCTTAGGTTGTTTATAGGTGTCCATACCATGGGGGAGTCTGAGACCATGGTTCGCGAACGGAAAATGGCGGCTTGCCAACTCTGGGTCAGGAGAGAGGTCCTGCCTCAAGTGGAGGAGTTCAAGTATCTCAGGGTCTTCTTCACGAGTGAGGGAAGGAGGGAGCAGCAGATCAACAGGCGGATTGGGGCAGCATCTGCAGTGATGCGGACACTGAACCGGTCTGTTGTGGTGAAGAAGGAGCTGAGCCGGAGAGCAAGGCTCTTGATTTACTAGTAGATCTACCGCCCAATCCCCACCTACGGTCATGAGCTTTGGGTAATGACCAAAAGAACAAGATTGCAGATACAAGCAGCCGAAATTAGTTTTCTCCGTGGGGTGGCTGGGCTCAGCCTTAGGGATAGGGTGAGGAGCTCGGACGTTCAGGAGAGACTCGGAGTAGAGCCGCTGCTCCTCCATATTGAGAGGAGTCAGTTGAGGTGGTTTAGGCATCTTGTTAGGATGCTTCTGGATGCTTCCCCAGGGAGGTGTTTCAGGCATATCCTGCCGGCAGGAGGCCCTCTGGTCGACCCAGGACACGTTGGAAAAAGTACATCTCCAATCTGGCCTTGGGGTCCTGCCGGAGGAGCTGGTGGAGATTGCCGGGGAGAGGACAGTCTGGAACTCCCTAGTTGGGATGCTGCTCCCACGACCTGGACCTGGATAGGCAGAAGGAGACGAGATGAGACCATGGCAGAAATATGCCTCCGTCATGTCCTTTTTACAAAAGATAATGCAATGGCAGTATAAAGGGGGTATGGGGTGGTCTCTGCACTTCTGTGTACTTCCGTTTAACTTGGACATAACTGGCTTTTTATTGCGATTGAAGCCACACTCATTACGTTTTTTTGACAAGCCGCTCCTAAAGATGTCTGTCACTTACAGCACCCGTGAACTGTGAGCTGATCTGAGCTCCAGCTCTAACAGAGAGAAGTTCCCAGAGCTCTGCATCGCTCCGGTTTATCACCTCAGCTGATTCTGGTCAAAAAGCGTAACTTACTGCTCATTTTTACATTCATTTTTAATATAGTTGCCGGCTGGAGCTTGGTGGTAACTCCCCACATGATCATGACACCTCCCTCTGTTACGCCAAGGCATAATGTGCATTTAGAAGACCGACAGCAGTATTACGCTGAATTTCAGGCATTGTGTGTCTTCTAAAATGGGCTTGTGAATGTTAAGTGACAGTGTGATGTAGATCTATCAGGCTTTTCTAATCCTAGAGTCTCACCGTCTATTTTCTATCAGAAGCTAATGCAGGAGATAGGTGTAGGAGACTCTTTTCATCTTCAGTCTGCATTAAAAAATCAGAGAGGCCGATTACATCAGCTTCAACCGTGGGTTTTGCTTTCTGTCCAGGGTTTTGATGATGAGACGGGAGAACCGCTGGTCCAGAGGGACGATGACAGACCAGACACGGTCACACGAAGGCTGAAGTCCTACGAAACCCAGACAGAACCCGTCTTGGAGTACTACAGGTGGACCCAATATAGATAACAGACACACAGAAAAAATGTTGCCTACAGACAGTTCTGTTCATGTTTTAATTTCAGGTTTTTAAGACCCTCACAAATAAAGAAAAACTAGCTCCGCGTGACTGGAGTGTTTTGAAAAAATGCCCAAAATGTTTTATCAAAAGCAATAAATAGGATGTAAATAAAATAATTATTAATTGAATTAGAGTCGTAGAATATTTTCTAAATATATGATCCTTTTAACCTTTGTGGCATTTAAAAAAGTCTTTTGACACAATTTAGAAATTAGAATTTTGTTTGATAGCTAATAAAAATTCGAAAGCAGGGTAAAAATATTAGATATTTGTTTTATTTTATGAATTGATTTAAGTCTGTTTTTGCCATTTGTATGAAGTTTTCTAATATTGAAAAAAATCACTTAATTTCTATATTTTAAACAGCTAAAAATATGTTGTTTTGCCTTTGAAAATGCAGATATGAAAACCAAATGCCAAAAAATCAAAAACAAAAAAAAAAAACTGCTGCAGTCTGTTTCAGGAAGTAACCCCCAAATTCCACTACCTCCGCTCCGCCACGAACGCCGGAGCACAATCGGTCCCGTTGTAGTCAGTCAGAGCAATTCCACTACTGCGGCCGTGCTCCGGCAGTGCGGCGCATGGCGTCCGGCAAAAATAGAATCGATCCTATTTTTGCCGGACGCCGGAGCACCTCCGCAGTAAATGGACAGAAATCACAACGGCCCAACAGGAAAAGGAGCGAGCACAACTTCCGTTTTTCACAATAAATCGATAAACAAAAGGCGTTTTTTGTTTCATATGCACAGGTTTAACAACTTTTAACAACTATCAGTGGCGGCTGAACTTTAAATGCACAAAAATAAGCCATAAATACAGATTCTACTATCAAAGTAGTCACACTTTGTTGATCCAAACACTGCTGATCTCTCAACACAAATGATGGGCAGATTAAACAGTTCATTTCGATGCTTCTCCCACACAACGGGTGTTTGGATCTAACTTCCGCGTTTATTGCTCGGACTGTTTCGCAAGATCTCAAAAATCCCACGCATGCTTGTTTGCCCACCTCAGGTCTCCGTACCGGAGCGGAGCCGTTGTAGAGCGGGTACCAGTAAAAATTGAGTTCGGAAGCGAGCGGCTGCAGAAGGCGGGGGCGGACCGGAGCGGAGCGGAGGTAGTGGAATTTGGCGGTTAGTCAAAGGAGTTGAGGGCAGAAAAGTCTTGCTCATTAATCTTCATGATATGCTAACATCTCACCTCTGACTGGCTAACAGCATCCCGACTCTTCCGCTGCCTTCGTTTACATTACAGTAAAACATGTTTTCTTGGTTCAAAAATGTATTTCTGCTGTTTTATCTCCACAAATAACACACGTGTGAACATATTCTGCCATGTTGTGGATGACAGAGACCTGCTAGCTGAGACACGCTCTGCCCTCTCTTGGATGCTAAATCAACACAGCCTTCTTTTGAATCATGGCTTCAGTCTTTCAGCACCGAGTTAGCATGTTCTCCCCGTGCATGTGTGGGTTTTCTCCAGGTGCCCCAGTTTCTTCCCACCGATGAAAAACATGCATGTTAGGTTAATTGGAGACTCTGTTGTCCCAGGTGTGAGGGAGTGGCTGCTTCCTTGTTTCTGTCCCTATGATGGACCTGTCCAGGGGCTTCCCCACCTTTTACCCAATGGCTGTTGGAGATAGGCACCAGCTCCCTGTGACCATACAGAGAAATGACAAAGCTCGTCCCACATAATGACCTCTGCCATCAGTGACAGTGGAACTGCTCCAAAATGTAATTCTAGCAGCTGATAGTGCAGCTTCCTGATGACATAAATAACAAATATTTGAACACTTGCCGCTAGGGTTTACTCTACATTACATTAGTGTGTGCTTAGTAACAGATCTTGTACTGAAGCAGCAGATCAAACAGCTTTCAATAAACTGTTTTGTTTTTGCTCCCCTCCAGGAGTAAAGGTGTTCTTGAGACGTTTACAGGGACAGAAACCAACAAGATCTGGCCTCACATCGAAGCTTTCCTCCACAGAAAATTCTCCTCCCTCAGCCAAAGAGTGGCTTAGAACGCCTGAAGTGAACAAGAAGGCTCTGAGTTTGCTGACAGTGACCGCTGTGTGCATCAACCAATCAGGAGACAGGAGGGGACGTCTGTGGACTTCAAAATCAAAGTTCATCTAACATAAGACTGAAACATTTTCAAACTGCTTGTTGTGGTACTATGAACGTATAGATATTGGCTTTGGGAAACCCAGGTGAGTCTGTGTAAAATCCTCCAAACGCGTGTCGTTAGCTGGAGGCTTGAACCCCTTTTTCCATGTCTTGCCTCTTTGAAACCAGGAAGGTGAGCTGTGATCCAACAACAGAGACAAGAGTGAACGCGTGACCTCATACTGTGAGCTTAATCAAAGGCTTTTTATTATCCTTCAGAAGCACTGAGCCTTATTTTCTACCGCAGGTGTGTCCTTGTTCCTTGCTGCTTAAGCACACAAGTGCCTTTTGCTGTTTTTGACAAGTAGCAAAACAAGTGTTTTATTTTCCCAAATTATGAACCACATTTATTATGAAGAACATTTTAAATCATCACAAGGAACCATTATGATGCAGCATCTTTCAGCCTCCTCGGGTCTTCTGGCCTCTGAAACACTCCATGTTCTGTTCATTTAGACCATTTGTCTCATCATGGGAGTCATTCAGCACCTGGTGTGTCTTAATAATATATCATTGTACACCAACACAGATTTTACAGGATTAAATGTGGCTGGAAGGTGTCCGTTTGCAGTTTTTTGCACATTGTTTGGAGTGTTTGCCCTGTTAAAAGTCGTGTGTGTGACCGTGGTGTACGGTCTACCAATGCTCCTGGTCTTCCCTAAAATATCTAATTTTTCATACAAAAATAAGCACTGTCAAGTATTTTCTAGATGACAATAAACCTTTTATTGTAGAATAAATCAACTTGCATTTATAGATTTTTTTAGGAAGCTCCATGAACACAACACACACCAGAAACAGCTGTGGGTGCAGCAGACTTCCGAAGAACTGAAACATAAACGTTGGGTATGTGCAGAACTTTTAGCAATTTACTGTAAAACTAAAAAAAAAAAGAAAAACATCTCAAAATCTTCCCTAAAAATCTAACTCTGAGTGATGGCAACAAGCCCAACAATTATTTTCCATAGTTTAATAATCTTTATAGAGGAAAATGAAAAATATTTGCACTAATGACGAGCTAACGTAAAGTACAAAGGCAGAAGAAATTAAATCTGGTCATGACTCTTGCAAGAATCAAGCTTAACCTAACATAATTTTTAATCCTTAATCACTGTAGCTTTACTGCTGGGAATACCTGGAGTCATAGGCTGGATCCTGGATCCGGAGCCAGGACCAGGCGCTGAGGCTAGAGCCTGGGCCTGGTGTTGTAGTTAAGAAGCTAGTAAACCCTGTATTTATGACTTTGTGAACTGCAACAGAGCAGCTTATCACCGTGCAGATAAAGATCATTCAAACAAGAACTCAAAGCAAATGGATCAATTCACACAAGAGATTTCCATCACATATTTAATGCTTTATATGTATTTCCATTTTACATTACCACTGCAAACATCTGTTACACAGCAGATGTTTTAGGCCCTGTCCAAACTCTCCCACCATGTTTCATGGTTTATAAAAATCTCCATTTTTCTCACCAACTGTTTGTTTGTGGATGGGCGGGGCAAATGCAAAACAGACAAAAAAATATATAGTTTTTAAAAATATTCAGAGATGAGGACACTACAGCCCTAAAAATGTGATAAAAGCTTCCTTTTGATGACAAAATAACATTTCTGAAGGTAACACTAATGATTTTTTCCAACAAAATTCTCCATAAAATAGAAGCAATATTTATATTTGTTTTTTAAATAAAATATCCTTTTTTAAATAAATAATCCACACAAATAGTGAAAATGTCTGAATAACAGCCCAACCACTATTCCTCCATACAGATGTCTCTAATCACAGATAAACGTGTGTGTGTGTGTGTGTGTGTGTGTGTGTGTGTGTGTGTGTGTGAAAAAGACTGGCTCTTGACTTATTTTAAAAAGAATGTGGTTCTCTGTCATCACCTGGCTGCTGCTCCTTAGCTCCACATTTGAGATTACCCTTGTGTTTGTCTCCATCTTTTCTTTTTGTTGCATAAAAGGCTGTTTTATTATGAAATTAAAAGCTTCTTAATGAGCTAAAAAATGTTCCTTTTGAGTGAAATTATTCTAAATGGCATATGACATTGATTTCTATCATTACTAAATGAGAACATGGTTTCAGGTTCAGAGCTATTTGCAGATCTGAGCATTTCCAGCCTCACTAGACAACACTTTAGGGACCTGTCACGCAGCACAGGTAGAAAACAAAAACATAAGGCCGCTCTGATCGATTCTCACATGTCCCTTTTACACATAATGGAAGACGACAGGCCAAAGTCCCATCTTAAATGTTCTTGTTTTGGCCTTGTGTCGGACTCAGCTAAGCGCGTACACTAACCCAACTAAACAACCACCACTTATCATCAGACACTAGCTGGACTGTGAGCAGCTCCTTTACATTCAGTGAAAGCAGGAAGTCACTGACCACAGCCAGAATGTTTTAGTTCTTCCTGCAAAGATATAAACATAACCATTTAACTCCTGTGTGAATGTTAGCTAGAAGCCTGGATCTTTGAGTGTTGAAAACAACATAAAGCTTTTGTAACAAAGATCATAGTGTTATGATGTTTTTACCAAAGATTAGGTCCAAAAACCACCATTTTCTGGATATATTAATCCCTCAATAAACATCCTGTTGATTTCACTAATCATAAACATAATTTTACTCATGATTTTAATAACTTATCAACCGGATTCACGGGAAAGAGTTTGGTGCCTAACTTTTCCCCAAATACTTATCTTTTGCTGTAATTTGTGGTTATCTAAACAAAAAGTGCAGAAGCTCTTTACTTCTTAGGGAACCAGTGTCTCTCATCTTTGAAACGACAGTTGTGGCACAACACGAGTGTTAACTAGCCAGAGCCAAAAACAAAAGGCAACGCTGAGATATGCTAGTCATCAACAAAGCATGTTTATGTGCTGCTTTCCTGCTGGGGCAGCGTGATGCCTGATGTCTCCTTTTAGTCCTGATCTGCCCAGCGATGTGAGGGAATCTAAACTCCGGAGAGTTCCAACTGGGGGAGGATGAGTGAGATGGAAGAAAAGCAGCAGCCACGCTTCTGATCCTTATGAAGTCTCCATCATCCTCATGTCTTCTGTTTCTGAAGAGTCGTCTTTTGTCCATTTTCTGGTGTTTGTCCAAAGTCCAGCGTCTAAACAGTGTTTCATGTTAAATTCAGCGTCCTGATGAAGAAAAAAAAACAGTTAAAACAGTCAGATTAATATTAATATTATGAACTGAAAACGGGGTACATTTCAGGTCATGCTATAAATACTCAAATCTAACGATTGAACATGCTGGTTTCAGCTAAAAGAAGATTCTAATGACTAAAATGTGTTATTTTATCTATATTTTGTGATTTAAATGTTTTCCTAAATATCTTTCTTACATTCAGAAGTTCCGAGAGTTCAAAATGAGGTCACGTGAGCCACAGAGAAAGAAAAAAGCCCTAAAAGCAGGTGGAGTTTCAGTGCGACAGCCTGAACTGCTCTGAGAAGAGCCGCTGGTGAAGCTGTGGGGCCAGCAGCAGGGAGGTGGCCCCCGTTCTCTCGGTCATTAACAAAGGAGCTTTTCAAACTAAAGAATGGAGCCCTCTGAGCATCATCCTGCCAAATTCCTAGGACACTGGGAATAAAAAAAATCAGAAAGCTGGAGCACCCTGGTGAGCCAAGGTTTATTAGGTGTGAGTTAAAAAAGTAAACAAATGTTTTGACACTGGATGTGTTTTTGTCAAGTTACACATCCAGTGTCGAAACACTAGTTTCAGTTTTGTACTCACACCTAAAAAAACCTTGGCTCACCTGGGTGCTTCAGCCTTCCGATTTTTAAACCGTTATCAATCCTCCGAGCCAACACGCCATCTACCATGACTGCCATGATACTCTTACCACAGAACCATGTCTGCATGTTGAAAGACTTTGTTTTTCTAACATGTGGGATTTAACTTCACTGAAACAAATTATTTAGACGAGTTCGGAGTTTAAAACCCTAACCTATACGGTAATGAGAGAGTTGGAGCAGGTAAAACTACATCATAATCCAGAACTAAATCTCTAAACTGACAACAAAGCAGCAACATTTCATTACAGTTATTTTCATTAAGAACTGTTAGCATTGCAGGCTAGAACCCAATTTCCTGTTTTTGCTGATGATAAATGGTCTTTAAATGCTTTTCAAATAAAGATGAAGAGTCAACTAGTTAGAACAATTATGATTAATATTTTATTTGCAAGTTACCTGACTGGTAAAACTACTGATGTTCTCATCTTTATGAGACAAAGACCATCTGCGACATTAACAGCAGGCGTTCGACTTTTTTATTCAATATTTTCTCACAGTAAATTATAATCAAACATTTAAATAATATACTAGCCAACATGTAAATAATATACTAGCCATAAATAACTATAAAAGGTTGCTTTGGAAAGGAACAACAAACTAGCAGTGCCATCTAGTGGCTGAACTGCATAACTGCAACAGGAGTGGGCAGCAGCACGTACTTGGATTATGACGTTTGTTGGTTCTTTGGCGTCTACTCTGACGTTTGTGCCAGGACTCTGCTGATGAATGTTCAAAGTGTCACTTTTACATTTGACGGAGTATTCTCTAACTCTCTGCTTGAAGGCCTCGAGTTCTAAGTAGAAGACTTCTGAGTAGACATCCTGTCCCTCCTACAAAGCAACAACAAAAACAAAAGCAGGGACTTACAAAAGGGTTACACAAACACATCTCTAAGATGGTAAAATTTGTGACTGTGGCACTTTGTAAAACTGTTATTAATCATAAGTGCTTGTTTTACTTTGGCTTTGTGGAAGAACTGCCTGAAGCAGCCGCGAGGATCCTGCTGAGAGTTTGAAGCCATTTCTAAGATAAACTGCATGACAACAGCTTGATGTGCCACCTGCTCCATCAGCGCTTCTTTCTGGAAGACAAAATCCAGATAAACACTGTAGGTCTGGATTACCAACTTAAAATTAGGGACAAGACGGTTCGTTGTTTTGGAGATACTCTGGATTTTTATAAAGAAAGCAGTCTTTATCAACCTTAATCTACACATTAAAAACACTTAAGAACAAATGAACTTCTGCAGCACATTTGCATTATTCTGTTGAAGGACAGTTAGAAGATAAAAGCAACATCAGCCCAGTCCTGTTAATGCATTACCTCTTCTTGCTGCAGTCGAATGCACCACAGGATTAAAAAGTTAGCCGTTTCCTCACAGATGAGCTGTGGCATGTCTGACAGAAATCGTTGACTGTCGTCCCATCTACGCAACATACCTGCAATGACAAACATCTAATTCATGAAGACGTCCAAAAACAATTACTTTGGATTTAAAAAGCTGTATTTTATTGAAGTGTGCAACAATTTTAAAGTATCAACCTGAATTTATGTTTTTGTCATGCAAGATTTTGTGTCTCACTTACCAAAATGTCTGAGCTCTTGTTCATATTTCTGCAGAAATGTTTTGCACCTGTCCTGATCCATTTCTACAGATTGATTTGGGACATTGATTATACTCTAAAGCAAAAAAGAAACAAAAATTGTTTAAATATGACTACATAGACAGTAGGAAATGTGTAAAAGCAAATGTTATGCACTTTATTCTCTTTTAAACTGGAATATAAGTCATATTTTCAAACACTTTTTAAAAAGAGTTTTATTTCATAAACCTTGTTAAAAACGTCCCAACTCCCGGTATCACAGAGTACAGGACTGCGGCAGGGACCTGGACGTCCTAGCATGCTCTCCTTACAACGCCACGCCTCCTCCGTGTGTGTGAGTTCTGTCGGGCAGGCCAGAGTCCGAGCACGCTCCTGCTCCAGCGACTCGGAGCTGTGCACTCCTAAAGAGCACATCTGGTCCTGCGCCTCAGCCAGTCTCCAACTGGACACTATGGAGGCCTTCACACATCGCTGCTGGCTCTGACAAAGAGATGCCACGGCACAATCACAAAGGTGCGACGGTGGTGGTGGCTTTGAGATAAACAAAGAGACATTTATTCAACTGTTTTAAAGTTTTCAATGAAGATTGGAAAGTTTAATCAATTTGCATGAAAAATTTCTACAATACACATTATTTTTAAAATCTACACTTAAATTTTCACTTTGTTTTACACATTGCCATTTTTCTGGAGAATGAGTCCACTCGTGTGGGGTTACTTCTGAGCAAAGGGAGTGGACTCACTCACAGGTTAGCCTCAGAACACAACAATGAATAATGAATGACACCTACACTTTCACCTAGAATAACTCATCTCCACTATCAGTTGATTTGGGACATTGATAATACTCTAAAGCAAAAAAGAAACAACGTTGATAATGAAAAATGCCTTTTCTAGCATGATGGAGCAGCTAACATGATAACCAATTAGCTTGTAGGAGAAAACAAAAATGTGGGGTCCATTGTCAAAAAACAGATCACACCTGAATCCCTTTGAAAATATGAAATCAATCCTCGAGGTGGACGAACAAACAAAATCCCACACATTCTGACCATCTCTAAGCACTTATTATGAATTTGGTCCAGAAGTTGACTGATAGCATGCCACAGTAATTGAAAAGGTCCTGGAAAAAGAAGAGCCGCTACGGCAAATGTTGTATTTGTGTAAGCTTAATGTGACTGTCAATAACCGCCTTTAAAACTCACTGTGAAATTATTAGTAAACCAAAATACCTGACGAAAGATCTGATAATAGTGAAAGAGCAGACGTCAATCCTTGACTACCATGACTGTCCATCTGCGGGCCATAGCTGTAGTGTACCATATAAAGTATACCATTGGCTTTGCATTTCTCAGTGTCACACCCATGGCATTTGGTTTATGCATGAGAGCAAAACTATATCTGCAAGCTTCTTCCAGTCAGCTGTGGTGGAAATGTTACAAGCCAGAAACTTCATGTGCGCTATCTGTTTTGAGGCGTTTAGCTCCCCATTTATTTCCCCTATGAACATATATTCCCAGCACTTATCCAACCGTTTTCTGATTAGATGGACACACGTTATAACTTAGCTGAGTGATACTTTTATTGCGCAACTCTGTTTACCGTTGGCATTTAACTCTTCTACAACCCTAGAAATCACTCCAGTTCTTTGTTTGCAAACCAACCTTCCACAACAATAAAGGAGATGAAAATATTTTAGGACATTTCGAACCTTACTGACTGGTTAGCACTAAAACTTTGCTTGATCATACGAGATCAGATTTTAGCCACCTAGCATACGTTTGTTACCGTTACCTTTTAATGCTAAAGGGAAACTCTTCAACTGAAAACTCAACCATGAAGCTATGTACCTGTTGGGAAGGATAGCGTCCACTGAAAGCCCTGCTCGTTGAATTTGGGGCCCCGCTAGACTCCTCGTTTGGCTGCACTGAAGCTCCATTACCCAGCCACTCCATAGCTGCTAAAGAACTTTCAAGCTAGCTGACCGTTACAACTGCTAGCCAATGCTAGCTGAGTGCTCGTGAAACAGAAAAAGTTTGGATATATATATATATTCCGGAGTAACACGCAGATATTTCTGGTACAAATACCACTCTGAAGAGTCAGTGGAGTAAAACTGGAGTATGATTCAGAGCACTATGACAACGTAACTAACAATAACAACTATCCCTAACTAACCCCCAGTTGCATCTGTTTCAGGAGCTGACGCGGACGTGTCACGTGGTTAACCGATTTCAAACCACGTGATATAGAAACGCTTCTACTGAATTCTAGTGGTTTCTTAGCCTGGTAAGGTCCAGAATTTGGTCTAGTGCACTAGGCTTGCGTTTTTTTGCTTGGCAAGGCATGTATGTAAATATACAAGGAAAATAAATAATACGTTTAAAATGTCTAGGAGTGTATAGATACGATACATAAATAAACCAAAACTAAGAATTTTGGCAATTTGTCTACACTCACCTACAGGATGATTAGGAACACCATACTAATACGGTGTTTGACCCCCTTTCACCTTCAGAACTGCCTTAATTCTACATGCCATTGATTCAACAAGGTGCTGAAAGCAGGGGCGGATTTAGGACTGAAGAAGATCCGGGGCTTAACACACACGCGCGCGCACGCGCACACACACGCATGCGCGCACACACGTGACACGCACTAGTCAACATCATATATATTTGTCTTGTACCACATAATGTTTAATCTGAAGCTACATATTCAGCATATTCAGGGCAGAGTATTGTTCCTGTTAGTGTTTAGTGTGAGATGATAGTGAATATTCCCTTTCTTTCTCCAACAACTTTACCTGATAGTAAGCTAACTTTAGGCAAACCAGCAGCACAACAAATATTTTCTAATAAGACTCACAAACCTGAGTCAACACCAGTCTCATCAGAGCTGGGGTTCTGTCGTTGTACTTTTGGTCTAAAAAAACGTCCTTATATCCATCTTCACTCATGCGTTTCAGACAGAGACTGCAGAAGCCAGCTGCTGAAGGGCTTCTCTTCAGTCTCAGGTAAACTGTATACTGACTAAGTAGCCTAGTGGTAGAGTGTCTGCCCTGAGATCGGGAGATCAGGGGTTCGACTCCTGGTCGGGTCATACCAAAGATTTTGAGAAAAATGGGACCCAATGCCTCCCTGCTTGACACTCAGCATTGGATTGGGGTTGGATTGGGGGATTAAACCACCAAATAGTTCCCGAGCGCGGCGTGTCTGCAACTCAGGGGATGGGTCAAAATCGGAGAATAAATTTCACCACACACCTGTGTGTGTGACGACTAAATGGGACTTTACAAACTACTGCCAGCTGCGCCCTCTCTGTGTGACTTTGGTACTGCATGTTACTTCCGCGATTTAGATCCGGGGCTTATCATGAAAGATCCGGGGCTTCAGCCCAAGTAGCCGGGCCTAACGCCGCCCCTGGCTGAAAGCATTCATTAGAAATGTTGGCTCAAATTGATAGGATAGCATCTTGCAGTTGATGATTTGTGGGATGCACATCCAGGGCATGAAGCTCCCATTCCACCACATCCCAAAGGTGCTCTATTGGGCTGCGACCTGGTGACTGTGGGGGCCATTGTAGTACAGTGAACTCATTGTCATGTTCAAGAAACCAATTTGAAATGATTTGAGCTTTATGACTAGCATTATCCTGCTGGTAATGTAGGTTATGCTCAGAGGCTGTGCATGATGTGGCTTCACAAATGCTTTGCTGCATTCCTCAGTTGTAACGAGTGGTTATTTCAGTTAAAGTTGCTCTTCTATCAGCTTGAATCAGTTGGACTCGGCCCATTCTCCTCTGACCTCTAGCATCAATAAGACATTTTCACCCACAGGACTGCCGCATACTGGATGTTTTTCCCTTTTCACACCATTCTTTGTAAACCCAAATTGTGCGTGAAAATCCCAGTAACTGTGCAGACTGTGAAATACGCAGACTGGCCCGTCTGGCACCAACAACCAGGCCACACTCAAAATAGCTTAAATCACCTTTCTTTCCCATTCTGACATTCAGTTTGGAGTTCAGGAGATTGTCTTGACCAGGACCCCACCCCTGAATGCATTGAAGCAACTGCCATGTGATTGGTTGATTAGATAACTGCATTAAGGAGAAGTTGAACAGGTGTTCCTAATAATCCTTTAGGTGAGTGTAGATCTGGCCAAGTGGAAAAGTACACCTACGCTGGGAAAAAAGAGATTCTGCTGTGACATCATATGTGACAATTCTGCTTCGTAGTCTTTTTAATAAAGATTGTTTTTTACATGGAAATGAATCTCAAACTACACGACAGACTTAGTTGAAATACAAATAATTATTTTTCATTTAACCCTCTGGAGGCAGGCGTTTCAGATTTGTAACGTTAAAACCTACCTACCTGGTTACTCCACGTACGCATTTCATGAGCATTTTTAACTCAGAAGTACCCCTGAAGGACTTAGTTGTTCGTCCTTTTATAAGAACTTATTTTAAGCCTGAGAGGGTTAAACTGAAGTACAACATATGCGTGATTCAGGGCATAAGGCAAAGCAGACCAGAAAGTAAGTTTCATTGCCCCACTAACTTTCAGTCAGGCTCCCCATGCTGACTGGAAGGGGAGGAGACTCAGGCTCCCCATGAGCCCAAATCATCAGCCTCCACTACTGTGCTGACAGCTGAGATAAGGTGTTTATATATTTTTTATCTTTTTCCTACAAACAAGCCACTATTTGTTAGTATTTTATTTACAATGTCATGAACTTGAACATTTTGAAAACAGGCTTGAAAAATATGTTATAAAACAGACAAATGGACTGTATGGGAATGTCCTTATAACCCTTGTGCAATACCAGATTCACACAGTATGTCTGTGTCCCTTACAGAATGCTGCATAGTGCTGGAACCCAAGTATTTTTAATTGTATTGATAGTCTTATAGTATAATATTGATAGTCTACTGAGTAGACCCAGAAACCCAAACATGATGTCATCTTTGCAGTGGGAAAGTTTTAGAAGGTCCGCGGCCAAGCACTGAGCAGTGGTGAAGCGGACCTTGTCGTGATCAAACATGTCCTTAAGGTATTGCACGATTTGTTGCTGCAGGTGAAAAGAACAGAAATGACTGACAGGAAATGGTTTAATAAGACACAGTCACTCCTGATTTTCCTACAAAACACTAATGGATGAAATAATGGAAGTCTAGACATCTTTCACATCTAATTTAAGTCTGATTTTGGCAGTTTTTTAATGCACATCTGTGTAGCACTCTTGTTTTTCTGGAATTTTATTATAACGCTTTTACAAACCAGTAAAGGTCGAAATAAAACCCAGCATGCCATGACATCTAGTGGCAAAGTTGTATATTAACAATATTTGTAAATATTTATATCTAACAGTAACTTCAGTGTTTATAATGGCTACAGGAGCTTGAGGTCACGTTTTCATTTGAACTTTTTATTTCCAAAAAAATCAATAAATCAAACAAATGGAAAAAAAAGTTAAAAAAAAACCTAAATCACACTAGGGGACTAAACTTCATAGCTGCAGGACATATTTAAATTACAAATCTGTACTCCTAATTTAAGACAGATGTTCCAGCTACCTAAAAGTCTCGCCTTGAAAATTGTGCAGACTTCACTCAGGTGTGCCTGGATCCCAAAAATCCAAAAGCTAAAACCGGGCTCACGTGTTCTGATATGGCATAGAAGTGGGAGATGAACCTACAGAGAGCAGCGGTAACAGGCACTGGAGGTCAGACAGGCATGATGAACACAGCTAGAAGAAGCGTGGAATTCACCAGGAGAAGGCTCCTATTTGCTTTTAACACAGACCAGCAAGCTGTCACCAGGGCCTACGAAGAAAACCAAGAGTTCTCAGAGAAGGTGGCAGAAGATTGTTGCGTATTAGCATGTGTGTGAAACTAACTGTATCTTTAAAGCTGTCGGAGAGCCAGCTGTTACTCCACCTGAGTGATGCAGTAACATTTAGAAGCTGACTGAATTTCTATAAATGATAATTAGACCATTCACTCCTCGAGCCTCCATCTCAATCTGAGTGATGGGCCACGTTTCCTCCCTCTGGGTGTAAAGCAGCATGTCTTCATAGCTCTCTAGAAAGGCTTTGGGACTCTGAGCCAGAATCAAAATCAGATGTATTTACATGCACTAACAGAAAAAAGAAGATCGATTTGAATGGAACAAATGTGTCATTTACCTTGTTTGCCTTCACCACCGGCCCTGCTGTCATCTATTTCCCGATGAGTTTCATCCAACAACAGCATCTGGGGGAGGGGGAATCCTTTCACCTTTTTGTTTTGTTATTTTGGGACAGTTTTTGCTATAAATATACTATTTCTTATCTGATCATTTATATTTCATGATTAGTTCCTAGATTTATACGATTACTGTCAACATCACTTTCGTTTAAATGATTTTTTGGTTTTATTAGAATTTAAATGCCGTTCTAGGTGGAGGAGAAGGCACCGCGAGCGACGGGGAACGCGAGGTGGTTAACGCGTGAGACTGCGGGCATTATTTCCTGGTTCTCGGAAGGTCTCGCTGCTCCGATCTGATGCTGCCTGTGATTTGGATCTTCCTTGGCATTTCCTGGATCCTCCGGTGCCCTGCCTTGTTCCTCTGGTCGGCTTGGACGGGGTGTCTGTTCAGCGTCGTGCGCACTCCACACGGGGCCTTCGTTTAAAGACTTATGACTTGATGATGATTTGAGTATATTTGATATTTTAGCACAAAAGTGGCACGACAAGGACAAAAATCATGAATCATTCTTGGTTCTGGGCTTGCTCTTGTTCTGCTAAATGCAGCAGCACTTTGTTTATAATCTATTTCAGATGCACTTTCTGCTTGTTTGAGCAAATAAACGAAGCTTTAAGAAGCTTCATTTCTGGAATTTATTTATTTTCATTGTCATTAAATTGAAGTTGGACAGATGACTTGATTATGACATGAATATTCAAAGTTAAGGACTTGGACTTGACTTGGACTTCCACATCATTGATTTTGGACTCAACTTGGACTTGGTTGTCTTTGAATTGGACTTGACTCGAAACTTGACTGGAAAGACTTGTGACTTACTTGTGGCTTGCAAAGCAGTGACTTGGTCACTCCTCTGTCCAATAACATAAATCCATCTACAGAAATAAACACCTTAATCTAACTCAGCTTGTAGAGTTGCAAAACAACAAGCATCATTTGAATTTAGACTTGTTACCTTGCTCTTGTTGCTCCACATCC